TAGTAATTTCTAATGCATTAGTTGGTCGATTATTTAAAAAAAAGTATTAGATTTAATTAGATTAGATATTCTCATTCTAAATGTTTTGATAAATTTATTTTAAGTGATTATTTGATAAAAAAACTTGATTTAATATGAAAATATTGTTTATAAGATCTTAGAGTGCTAAATTTGATTTATTAGATAATTTTAATATGATTTTTTAAGGATATTTAAAAATATTGTCTAAATGTTATGAATAAAAATACAATATTAGATTTAATATAATTTTAATGAAAAATATGCAATTATCATATGATGAACTATGCCAAAATAAATTGCTAGCTTTTACTATATTCTCTAAAGTTAAAGCACCTTAACCATTAATTGAAGTAAAATAAAAGTTTAAAAAAGTAAGGTGATACAGCTGAATTTAAATTGGCATTATAAGAACATAGATCAAGAATTTCAACTACTCTCTATTGTTCAGTATTATCCACATTTACTTTTTGTTTGATTTTGAAAATGAGAAATCCTATTTATGCTTTGACAGCAAGGTATTTAAAAATTAATATTAAATAAGATCATCTTTTTTTGGAGTGTTGAAGAAATATTACTTTGTACCAGTTTTGCTTTCACAACCTTTCTAAAAACAAAATAGATAACTTTATGATGATAAAGTGAATAAAATCTTGAAAAAATATGATTTTACAGCTCCAGAATTTTAATAAGCATTTAAATAGATTGAAGCAGATGGAGGAATAAAGAAATTTATGAAAAAGTACCTTACAGAGAAAGATGAAGATCCGTAGCAACCAGCTTAATAAACATAATAATGAGAAATATTCATTTAATTTATTTATTAATTTCAGAGCAAATAACAAAATATATAATTTTGAATTAAATAAATTATACTCATCGTTAATGAAGAAAATTAGTTAATAGATGTTATCATTAATGAACAAAAATAATCTACAAGATTAACCATTTACAAACGACCAAAAAAAAAATAAAAGCAAACCTAGAACTGCAAATACAGAAAGGCCTTAATCTAAGCAATAAAAGAATGATTTACTTGAGTATTTCAAAAAAGAAAGGAACACTTTAAATTAAGTTGTTAACTCTCAAAATATTAATTTCTAAGGCAGCAGGAGCATTGATAATTTATAACAATAAAGTTAGAAGAGGGAGCTCTTAAAAAATGGTTAATTGAATGTATGCTTGAGTTAAATTTCTATGTAGGCTGAAACACGTATTTAAACCGATGAAGGAAATAGTGCAAAAAGATAAATTTTGAAATAGAAAAACTTATCATTAGCGACCATTTCATTAGATGCTCAAAATATTGAAAAAATGTTGAAAAATTAATAATCAAAATAACCTTAAACAACAAAGTAATCTTATAATTAATCTCCTTAAAACTAAATTAAGACACCTGTTTAGAAATAAAAAGATCAATTATTATTTGATATAAACTTAGTATTTTTTTATTTAAATCTAGTTGAAAAATACAGTGTGTAACAATGAATTTCAGAATTATTTAAATTTAAAATAAAATAAATAATCGATTCTATCAAATACATCAACAAATCATAGATAATCAATAGAAGATATGCTTTCTAATCAAAAAATACTTAAAGAATCACTATAATTTTAATCTTAAAAGACTAAAAAAAGTGAAAATGAATCAAAATCTAATAATTAAAGTCAAATAAAAACTGAATATTCATCAGTTTCTAATTAGTATTTTTAAAAATAAAAGATCAAAGAGGAGAACATATAATACGATTCTAGTAAATAATTACAAATAATTCTTTACTATAAATAATAAAAGTAAAAAGATTGTTATATTCATAGATATAATTATTTATATGAATATTTAAATTAAACTACCGATAATTTGTACAATTATTTGATTCAATAAATAGCTTTTATTGAAAGATCATTTACAAAATTAGGAAGTGGAACAGGTTCTACTGAAGGAGATTAAATATAATAAGGTATGCAAACTAAAGATTTTTAGAATTAAAAAAAATTTGCCAATTTCAAACAGTATCAAAAAATATTCCTTATGATTATTACTTAACTATTTCTGATTTAACACTTGAAGTTTTTAAAGGAATCACCCTACAGATTTAGCCTTTGTATTCATAACCGATTACAACAAAAAGAGTAGGATTGAAAGATTTTACCCTTGTCAAGTGTATTGGTGTTGGAGGGTTTTCAAGAGTATATATGGTGAGAAAGAGAGATAATGGGAAATTTTATGCCTTGAAATTGATAGATAAGAAATTTATATTAGAAAATTAAAAAGAGATTATCGTACAAAATGAAAGAGATATAATGGTTTAGATGGAGAATTAATTTGTTACTCCATTGCATTATGCTTTTGAGACTAAATATTATATTGCATTTGTTCTAGATTATTGTGCTGGAGGGGAACTATTTTATCATCTTAGAAAATTGAAAAGATTAAATGAATAAGATGCAAAGTTCTATTTTGTTGAAATCTGCATTGGTATGGCTTATCTTCATTCTCAAAATATTGTATATAGAGATATAAAGCCAGAAAATATTCTTTTAGATTTACAAGGTCATTTACTTTTAAGTGATTTTGGATTGTCAAAACCTGATATGACACCAGATGATTTCGCTTATTCATTTTGTGGATCTCCAGAATACATGGCTCCTGAAATGTTGATGAAAACAGGTCATAATTATTTAGTAGATTGCTATTGTTTAGGTGCTTTGCTATATGAATTAGTTACAGGATTACCTCCATTTTATTCTCATAATACACAAGAAATTTATAATTCCATTTTGACTGAAACTATTGAATTTCCATCATATGTTCAAATATCTCCAGTTTTAAAAAATCTAATATTGCAATTGCTTTAAAAAGATCCAACAGAGAGATTGGGTTAGAATGGAGGTGTAGTTGAGATTCTAACTCATCAATGGTTTCAAGATATTGACTTTGAAGCTATTGTCAATAAAAAATTTAAAACTCCCTATAGACCAGAACCCCTTAAATACAATTTTGATGAAGAAGAATTCAATAAGGGAGATGCAGAGTTTAGGAAATAATATTCAACAAACTTGTAAAAAGAATTTTAAGTAATTAATTTTGAATAATTAGAATATTGATACAGCTAATTATGTATTGAAAAATTTTTATTATTCTAGAGAATCCTAATTTGGAATCGAAAAAAATAAAAGAACAAACGAGATTAATCTCAATCAACTTAAAAATTAATCAATTTTAACTGAATCATAATCTCCTGCCAAAAATTCTAAAATTTAATAATAGTAAAAGGGAGATAACTATAATTCTTAGTAGGTTCTTGCTTCTCCTTAAGAGGGTAAAAGAATAAATCGATAAGCAGGAAAAAGTGAAGTTTATGATTACTTTAAAAAACATGATCTGCTGACAAAATCATCTCAACTATTACATTAATCTACTAGACTAGGACATTCCTATTCAAAGACAATGTAATAAGCTCAAAATTCTTTATAAGATTTGAAAGTAAATTTAATTCATTATTATAGTAATTCAAATTGTTTGTTGATTAATCAAAAGCTTTAATCTGTTCAGATAGAACAACTACAATGCCAGATTAAAATCATAAAAATGTTACAGAGAGAATCAAAACAGAGCAGTTTGGAAATCTACCATCTCCTAAAACTACTACTAATAGTTCATTTAATAAATTGAGTAATTTTTCAAAACTATTCGCATCTGAAAAATAAAAACAAAAATGAATAATGATCTTAATTTAATAATTTAACAATAATCTAATAAAATATTATTAATCATTGTATCATTTTAGTACTAGCATAAATATGATATATAAAACTAATAAAACAATTATACCAGAAACAATTAATTTAACAATTTTATCATTTTATTCTGGAAGGGAAATTTATTTTTTATTTTAGGGACTGAAGTCCTAAAATTCATGGATATCTGGTGAATAATTCTTCTATTCAAAATTAGGTTTTCTCTATTTAATCTCATCAAATTAAAAATGTAATGGAATATTATTATCCTAATACATATCTTTGAATTCAGATTCTTCATTACTGTTTTGATATTTTTGTTAAAGTTAGTTTTATGAGTTCGATTGAATACTATTAGATGGTTAGTGGGTCACTGGCTACTCAATTTAGGAATTTTTTGAAGTAGCAGTATATTTTGAAATGATCTTTTCTATTTCTGGATCAGGCCTATATGGTTAGAATGTACTAAGAGTTGATTATTTTAATGGTTAAGCATTTTGCAAATATCGAACATTTGAATATGATTATGATGGCTTTATTTATGACTATGCTTAATAAATTTAAGCTTTGGGTTATGGATATATTACTGGAGGTTATCCTGACGAAATAACTGGTGTTGTTTTGATTGGTGAATATTAATGAATAGGGGCATTTTAGTAATAATACATTAAATCGTTATAAATTTAATATGAATATTAATAATAATTGCAACATTAATGTACTAATATAATATCATTTTTTCTTTTATTCGACCTTCTTTATATTTAATTTATAAAATTTTATGTACGTTCCTTAATAACTTATTTTTGAGATTTTAAATTATTATTGCTGAGTTTTAAGAAATCTGGAGCTTTCTTATAATTGTAAAACTAGTTAGCTATATATTAAATTATATCTAATCTTTATTGGGATATTCATACTGTTCAATGCAATTTAATTTAGATATTAAATTAAAGTATAATTATTACTAAATGGAAAAATTAAAGATAGGGATTTAGGATTAATATATTAATTATTGCAAATATTTAGTATTCATTTAAAGATTTTTGCTTTTGAGTTTACTAAATTATAAAATATTGATATATTACAAATTTCATATATAAAATATTGATATTTTATAAATTTCATATATAATCAAATGGTTATTAAATATTTTTAATTAAATTAAGTTCCAATTTAGAGTTTAAATTATTGCATAATAACTATTGCGAAATTTATTTAATGAAAAAATTTCTATAATAATTTACTATAAATGAGGATGGATCTTTCAAAATGAATTTTATTAAAATAACATCTTCTCCTTGCATTTCTATAAATATAAAAGATTTTTGTTTTTTATTTAAAGTAATTTACTATATTATTAGAACAACTTAGATAATCCAAATATTTAATTAATTTCCATAAGTTTTGACATTAATTACTCTTTCTCCTTTGATATCTAGGATCCCATGACAATTAAGGAGTTTAATGAATTTTTTAAATTACTTTTTTAAATTTAATTAATAAATAAATGTGTCATTTATCTTAATAGTAGAAAGTACACCAAAATAAAAGATTCTTAAATTAATATTTTATTTAGTAATGCGCTTAATTTATAATTTAATCTAAGCCCAAACATCTTAAATAGAATAGGTTTTTGTTTTTGTAATGAATTTATTATTAATATTTTCTAAAATCAAAATATATTTTGAATATCCAATTCCTAAATTACAAAAATATAAATCGATCTACATTTTTTGATGGTTATGAATATATTTAACTTTATAATTTTATTCCTGTTCATGATTCTTAAGTAATTATTATTCTAATGTTGTGTTTTTATCAATAAAGATATTTCTGAGGAGATTTCTAAAATTACATCCATCACAGAAGTCTTCTCTGCCATACTCAAATTAATCGATATGCTTCGCTTATTACAAATTTATTTATTAATCACACTTAATATCGAATTAGAAAAATGGGGATTTAACTAATTTAATTAATTTGTCATCAATTTATTCTTCTTTCTATCTTAATAAAAAATGCTTTCTAGAGTTGATATCATTTTTATAAAGAATGGATATAACAAATGCAACGCATAAAATTGAAAAACAATAATCTTAAATATCGATTCTTTAAGTGTAGTATGAAGTAATGACCATTCTAGCGACAGTGTGAAAAATAACTGAGACAGTAGCATATAGAAAATCACTCAAGAAATAAAGGACAGATTAAAGTTAAGTTATGTTGCATCCGAATTGATAATAATCTTGAGGCAAAGAATAATTAGTATCAAAATTCATTTATAAAACAAGCGTTGATATATTTGAGATGGTTATAACTAATTTTATTAACCTGGAGTTAATTTTAATTGTGATTTAGGCAATAATTGTCCAAACAATAAAACCAATATTAATATAGGGCAGATTAGGTTTGTTAAGAGCCAAATCATAAATAATTTTCATGCCATGAAGTAAGAAAGTTCCAAGTACAACAATCTAAAAAATTCTTCTTAATACTTGTCTAATTCTGGCTTCTTGGTATTTTTCTTCTAATTGATTATCTAAGAAGCGCAAAGTATAAGGATTCATCATTGAAGATAATATTAAATATGAATACTTGCAGTTTTAATAATACTTTAATGATGAAAATATTCATTTAACAAAATGAACTACTTTTACTTTAAACATCGAAATGATTCAGAACTATTATTTAATTTTCGATCTGAAATATATAAAGTGAGGCTTATTAATATTTACTTTATAATGATCTATTAAGTGTAAGTATAGGATTAAGAATATAAAATTATTATTGAGAAAAAGAAATTGTTAAAAGGATTTAAAATCTAAATAATAATGGTTGTATATAATTAATAAAAAAAAATCATCAAATAATGAATTTATCAGATTCAGGATAAGAGTCTTCAGATGAGAAAGCTTTCACAATTCCAAAATAGACAAAAGATTTAAGAGCTTGCTAATTATGTGGATTTATTTTAACTTAAGAATAATGGAATAAGAATTCATAATGTTTAAATGGATGTAGTGCTGACTATACGAAAATATTTACAGGGTAAATATAGATTTAATTATAGAGTAATATGTGTAATGAAACCATCAAAGAGTTGGGTTGTTAAGAAATTAGGTAATTAAAGAAATATTCATCCTGGTTTATATGCAATAGATGTACAAGCAGATTGATTAAGAAATGAATAATGAAAAACATAAGAAATGTACTTATTGGATGTATATTATAACAATGATCATTCTTCTTTTGGTTGCTTTCTTTTTGAATTCTTTCTCTTTCTTCTTCCTTCTCTTCCTTATCCAAAAGGAGATGTGACTGCAAAATCAACTAATTTTTCACTTTCAACTCTAACAAGGAATGATGGTGAATTTACTAATCTCTTTCCAACTCTATTATATAATAAAAATATCAATTACCTAAAGTGTCTTTATCTAATTAAAGTTCTAGCATGATGAATTGATGATGCTTAATTACTTTTGAAAACAAATGTTTATAGTCTTCTTTCCATCATTTTTTAAGTAGTCAAACCCAAGACATAATCTAGTTTTCTTTCTTATTCACTCAATAAACCATAACGAACCATTCTTCTAATCAAAGCTTCTCCTTCAAATAATCTTCTTGGATCTTTTGGATCAAGTGTTAATAATTCTCTAGCAGCCTTTCTGATTCTTGCTAATGTAAGTTAAACTCTCCAAACTTCTCTTTTATTCTTTAATCCATACTTACCAATAATTTGCAATCTAATTAATCATTAACAATACTCATTATCAAGACGTTCTTTTTCGAATGGTTTTCTTGGTGTGTCTGATGTCTTAGATCTGTTTCTATAATTTTTTCCCATAAAAAGATTTAAATATAATTTTAAATTTTGTATTAATAACTATTGTATACAATCTCCCTCTCCTACATACTATTTCAATCAATATCTAAAAGATTATCAATCCATAAATAATCAAGATTATTTCATAATATTCATACTCAATTTTTTTTCAAACTAATGCTAAAAAAACTATCCATTCCACCTCTCTCTGGTAAACTTTGGAAATAATCATTATCAACCACGCTTAAATCGTACTTCTTGCAAAAATGCTTCACTTAATTCTAATTTTCATCTTTCAAAAAACTACAAGTTGTATAAACTATCACTCCATCTTACTTCAAATATCTAATTGCTTAATCAAATATTTCTTATTATAATTTTATTAAATCTAGTTCAATTAATATATTTACTATCTAATCTTTCCTAAGAAAATCGATATTTCGAATCTGGGTTTCTTCTTAAAGTTCCTAATCCTGTACAAGGAACATCTAATAAAATCCAATCATATTTGAATTTCTTTGTAAAGAAGCTGTAGTTCATTATACCAGCTCTTCGTAATCTTATCTTTGCTTTAGCCAAAGCTTCACTTCTTGAGTCATTTATCTCAATTACACCTTTACCTTCCATCTAATGAGCAAATGCTAAGGTTTTCCCTCCAGATCCTGCACAATAATCAAGTACTTTATCATTTGGTTTGCATTATACTCTAAGAGCACAAACTTATGAGGCCTCATCTTGAATTTCAAATAATCCCTCTTTAAATTAATCTGTATCACTCAAATTTACATTATTTTCTTTGCTCACTATTAAACCATAAGGTGATGTTAAAGTCTTTTTAAAATATAGATTTTTCATCTCCTTAATTAGCTAAAGATATTATGTAGTAAAACAATTACTTTCTCTCTTGTTATTTTTATTGGATTTATTCGAATCGTCAATGGTGCCTTGGTGTTTAAAGCTGTAAAGAACTCATATGCTCTTTTTTGACCATATTAATCAGAAACTAGTTGGAACAGTCTGAAATAGAATTCATATTTTACATCTCTGGACAGCTACATCGAATATTCCTTTGTAATTGATCAAATATAATCTTACAGTGGAATATTTTGGTCTTTCTCGTAATTTGAAACATGTGATAATAGATCACATTTTCTATCCACATCTTTCGTAAAATGAGAAAGAAGAAGATCATTTCTAATTAGATCAAAAGCTGTTTGAGAAATTATTGAACGCTCAGAAGGGCCAAGAGTTTTGTTATTTTTGTAGTATTCTCTTAAAAAAGAATCAAATGGTCCTCTCTAAACGTCAAAATTTGTCATTATAGTCTTTATGTGTGTTTTAATAAATGGCCTTAAATTCATATTAAAATAAATAATAAATAATAACGTATATAAACTTAATAAAAATGCATAAACCTTATTGTTCTTAATAAATCTCAGTACCCTTCTCATTCAGGTTAAAAAAATCCAGATTATATCAATCCAATATTCATTAGTCTAATTGATTAATTTCTAGATAACATTTTATTAAATAAGCCCTAATAGCATGATCAAACAAATTAAAATAGTAATTATTAAACCTACTAGAATTAATTTTAAAAGCTATAAAATGAAAAGACTTAAGAAACTTTTAATAATGAAGTTTGAAGAAGAAAGATTGATATTAATGATTAAACAACTTCTTTGATAAGAAAACATAAAAGTCACAACATGAACTTAATCCTGATTATTTATTTCAATCGAATTAAAAGGAATAGTTATAAAGAGCTAAATATGTCTTGAAAAAATGGAAATCAGTGTAATTAGGAGATCAAAAAGTGTGAAAAGTGAAGGCTTTACACAGTAATAGAATAGCCCAAGCAGTTATATTCATCCATAAAAAATATCAATCAATCTGTTAGAGATTTTAAAGCTGAAAGCTAGTTAAGGGGATTTATTTTACAAAATAAAAATGTTTCATATTTAAAAGAAATTGAAAAAACACAAAATAATCAGAAGAAGATTTAAGAAGATAGTAACAATTAATAAGTATAGCTAAATCAAAATTTACTAAATGATTATCATTTATAAAATATTGCATCGCGATAATCTACTGCAAATATTAAATTAAAACTCTAAATAAAAACCCCTATAATTGCATCAGCTGGAGATCCAAATGAATTATAAAAATAATATGATAGAAATCGATTTCCATCTTGTCCTAATTTAAGTGCCAATAAAAATGCTATCATCATTGTAGCACTCAATTTTTATTTAGTGCTCTCGTAAATTAAAATATAAAGCAATGTAAAATGCATGGCTTTTGAGCTTTCCTCCAATAATTTATATATTGAAATGATATTCTAATTTAAACCATATAGTTACATCTATTTAAGAGGGAAAGTAATTTTAACAAATTGAAAAAGTGAAATTATTTAGATTTCTTAAGATTACTACGATCAAATAGATCGGAACTGTTTTAAATTTCATTAATAACAAAGTCATCGCACAAAGCGATAATACTATAAAGGCTATTGTTGTCCATTAAAATTTAAATTAATTCAAACTTAAGAACTCCTGTTAAAGTATTGTTTATTCTATAATATCTTCTGCATATCCAAAGCCAATCATTGATGAAAATAAAAAAAAGAACTTAAACTAGCAGCTCTTATCAAAAAAAAATTTATAAAATGTCTTTAATCTCTTACATAATGAATTTATCTTCATTTTCGATTAGTATAAATCATTTTCAGATTTGAATTAAAATGTATAAATAAGCATAATAATTGAAAATATTGAGACTAAGATAAAGAAAGTCTCACAACTATAGAAAATCTATGTTGTTACTGTAGAACTTATGAAAATAACTGTGTATTTAATGGCTGCTGCAAATTTGTAATTATCATCGTATACATAATCAACTATCCAAGCCTCTGTTGCAATCTCTAAAATTAAAACTAGAAAAAGTTAAATCAATGCTAAATTTCGAACAACTTCCAATTTTAAATTTGATATTAATTATTGATAAATTATACTAAGTACAATACAATAAACTGCTAACAGAAATAATGTTAGTATAATATAAGTCTTTCTTCTTCCAAATTTTCTTATGAAAAATGTATCTAATAAGGGGCAAAGTATTATTTTGAGATATTATGGTAAAAGTAGTATTCCAAATGCCTTTAATTCAAAAGGCATTAATCCAAGGGATAAGAATTCTTTAATTAATGTTACATAGAAGTATGTAGTAATCGAACTTGTTAGTATAAAAATGCATGAAATAAATACAAAATCCTTTCTATCTTCTAAAGTTTTATTAATTTCCGAAAGGCTTGAATTATCATCATTTTAACTCATAATTCTCTTTTGAATTTCTTTAATTTCAAATTTATTTAATTAAATCTAACATATTTATTATATTATACTTATTAATATTTATGTCATTCTGCTTTTCTAAATAAATAAAAATGAAGCTTAGAATTTTACTTAAACAAAATATAACACTTAGATTACTCAAGTAGCTTATAATTTATGTTTATCTATATTACTACTTGGTAAATTTCAATGATAAAAATCATGAATGTAATGAATTGTTATTAAGGTAAATAAAATATAATTACCTCAATTCAAATTTTTGTCCTCATTAATTGACTGAGTAATAAAGTTATAATTAATGTACAAAAAACTGAATTTAAACATTCATAATTAATTTTCAATTAATTTTTTTCTTTAATAAATAAAAAATAGAATATCTTAAGACTTTGAAAAGAAATAATCTTCATGCAAAATCAGAAATTTAAATAAGAAATAATTACTCTTAAGACATAAAAAATAACGAACTGCCAGTTGTAAAAAATATTTGATTCTAATTAAATTTGCTTTATTTTTTTCTCAAAAAATAGTAATTTAAAAAAGCAGAAGAATATATTGGATGTAAAGGTTTATTATTTTAAATATAAATAAAATCTTTTATATTAACTTATGGGAATTTCAAGAGATAGCAGACATAAGAGAAGACTTACAGGAGGTCGTATGCCTATTCATAAAAAGAAAAGAGCATTTGAAAAAGGAAGATAAGCTGCAATGACAAAATTAATATCAGGAGAAAAGAGAGTTAGAAGAATTAGAGTAAGAGGAGGAAACTTTAAATTCAGAGCACTTCGTCTATCAGAAGGAAACTTTTCATGGGCAAGTTAAGGAATTGCTAAAAAAGCAAAAATAGTTGAGGTCCATTAATATCCTTTACTTATGAAGAGTATTAGATGAAATTCATAGTTACTAAATAGAATTTGAAGATTTTTAAGTATTAATTTTTTTCGTTAATTTAAATGAATTTAAATAACAAGCATGAGAGATTTAGTTCAGATGATTCTGTTGATATGAGTGATTATAAAATTGAATCTTCAAAGAAATAATCGACAATAAAGTATTCTAATTCAAAATCATCATCATCAGATGAAAGTTTGACAGATATGATAAAAAAGAAGAGACAATAGATTAATAAGAAAGTTTATGGAAAAGAAGAGTAATAATAACTAGAATTAGATGATGCAACTTTTGATTTATCTGATACTTGTAATAAGTAATACTTATATTATTAGATAACGATTCTAATAAGTTCAAAAATGGAAATGAATCAACATTAGAATCAAGGATAAAGAAATTAGAACAAGAATTGAATACTAGTGTTAAATCTACTCTATAAAGAAACTATTAGCATAATCAATCTGCGTCTATGACATCAGTTGATTCATTCTCAATTGATTTTAAGCAGTTTCAATAATAATCAGATCTCAAAGTCAATTATTATAATAATCGACTTGAATCACTTAGATCTAAAAATTAGGAACCTGCAATAGAATGGAAAAGTATAAATTATTATATTTATACAAGAAACTCGAAAAATAGAAGAATTTGATTTTGAAATTTCAAATCTCTAATAAGAACTTGAATAGTTAAAAGATAGTCTAAATAAAGAAGAAAAAGAATAAAATAAATAAAAAATTAAATTAAAACATTAGTTAAAATAATATACTTAATCAAATTCTGATGAAGATGAATAAGAATATAAAGAAAGAGTTTATGATTTACCAATGCAATAAAATTAATAAAAAACTAAAAAAGTAGCATAAAGTTCAAAAAAATCATCTCATCATTCTGCTGCTAGTGAATAAAATCAAAATCAAATATAGAATACAAATTTTAAGAAAAAATCAAGAACTGATATTGAGGTTATTGATGAAATGTCTGAATAAAATTCAAAGGATTAACATAAGGGTAATGAAATTTTAATAATCAATTTTAGAAGTTAATTTTGATGATTCAGATAAATTAAGTGAAAATGAAAATTAAGAGATTCCTAAACAAAATCATAAAAAATAAGCTTCAAAAAAATAATCTTCTCTTCAAAATTTACCTATTTCAACAATTGAATTTAAGGAAAAAGATGGAAATGATGTGAGTATCGATGTTGTTCCTTAGAAACATCAAACTAATAATTAAATGCCTTAAATTTTGACCGAAAATCAATTTCCAAATACTTTAATACTTCCATCAAAAACTTCTTTATAATGTGATGTTTCAAGATTATATAAACTTAATAAGGAAGTAGAAGTTTTGTAATTATTAGATTAATATAAAATAGATAATAAATAGAGAAGATAAGAGATAAGTTAAAAAAATCAATAAATAAAAAAATGAATAGTGAAAAAGTAGTAGAGTAAATTAATTTATTATTTTAGACGTTATGATCCATCATTCACAATGTCATCTAAAACAAAAATAATGAATAAGTCTGGAAAATTGCATTGTCCTAATTGTACTTATCTACTTAATAAAGGGATGAGTACAGCATATTGTCATTGCAATAAATGAAACCTTTTGAAAATATTATTATTTAATCTTAATAATTAATGTCTGTGAAATAATAATGGCTTCTTTAGTAATTTTACTATATTATTATATTTTAACAAATCAATCATTTTTTAGTAAAACAAAAAGAGAATAAGTAGATAAAAAATCTTATTAAATTTATAAAATTTTAGATGAATTAGAAAATCTAACAAAAGAACTTATTAATCATGATAAATCACATCAAAAAGAATCATTAATAGAGAATATTTATATCAGTTATACTAGCTACACTAAGTAAAATAATAGCCCATATTGATGAAAAATTATGAAATGATCATTATTCATGAAATAAAAGAAATTAATAAACTTTTTATAAAAAAGTAAATGAATACTCATTTATATTTTGCTATTTAAACCAAGCAGTCAATTAATAGGGAATACAGTAAATGTAGTTGCTTAAATAAGATAATCCTTTCAAATACAGATAATATAATTGAGAAGAGTACTTCTTTAATTTTTCCTTAAATTATCATATCTTATAAATCATCAAATACTTAAATCATTATCTAATCATCTCAAAGTTATTAAATTATGCCTGATATAATTATAAGATACTAAATAGTGTAATTTTCATTGTATTTTCTTTTGAAAGAGAATAATTGTATGAATTTAAAAAAAAAAACTAAACCAGAAGAATACCAAGAGATTTTAATAACTAATTCAAATTAAACAATATCAGAATATCTTCAAAAATATTTTCAATTTTAAGCTATGAAAATTCAAGAAGTTTAATAGATGAAATATAATTATGCTAAAAATGTCAAAAGTTCTTGGCTGATTTAATTTAAAAATTGAAAATTTCACAGAAAGTGATTAAAAGTTCTAAGTATAACAAAGAGAGAAAAATAATTAATAGTCAAAAGATTAATTTAAAAGATTTTTAAGATAAATAGTAAAATTAGATGAATTTGGGTTTAGAATTGATTTGATTAATAATGACAGGATCAAATCAAAAATATAATTAGATATTGTTTAATGTATTATATAATTTTAAATAACTTAGCATTTACAAAAGAATATGAGAATCTAATAAAATATTAAAACAATGAATTTAATGAATTTAACACTGAAGTATTATAATAATAATAATAACGATATATTTAGTTACTAAGATATCTATAAAATTCCAGCTTATATAAGAGATCCTTTTATTTATAATTTAAATATAACGTATTTTTAAAGTTTATGATACAAATATAAAAATGTAAATTTTTTGTATTTTATATATAATCTAATAAAAATTGATAGTCTGGATTAATCCTTCATCTAGTAGAAGCTTAAAAGTGGCTTTATGAAAAATAGCGGGAATAAATAATGTTTATTCTACTGAATAATATTAATAGTGTTTTCAATTAATTTTAATCGTTAACAGATGAATAAAGAAAATGAAGTATTTAATTTGCCTGAACCAATTTGCAAAGCTCATCAAAATAAGAAGGTAAGAAAAGCTTAAAAAGTAGGCAAAATATAAAATAGTTGGTGTTCCCTACCCTAAACCAAAGTTTAACTTGACTGATTTAGTTTGTTCTAAATGTGCTATTGCACTTGTTAGTTAAGGTTATAAGGTAATTTAATTTTTAGAATTAGGTTGATGATATTGAGTCAGATTAAACATAAGTTAGATAAGAATAAATACAACAGTTTCTGGAAACAATTTCATAAACATTTTTAACAATAGATCAAAGTGAATAAAGTCTTCTGGAAAAAAAGGAAGATCTGATTCGATTTTGTGAGAAATAAAAGGATAAAGTACGAGAGCATTATCATATTATGACAACCACATTAGATCATAAACTAAAAGAATAAATTGACTATTTGAACGAATTGTAAGGAAAAGCCTTAACAATGTTTGAATAAAAATAATAAGAAATTAAGGAGAACCATAATGAATTATTATAGATGTATAGCGACATAGAAGTTAATCTTGATAATATAATCCTATAGATTGAATTGTTACCTTACAAATAGATTATGGGTCAATATAATAAGAGAGTGTAAGATATTTAATAGTGTCTTACTAAAATGGAAACTTAGAATGTTTATTTGGGAAGAGTGTATAAAAAAGCAACAGATTAAAAAATACTAGGAGGTTTATTTGAAGATAGTGAATTGGAAATTAAAATAGTATAAACATCTTTGTTGAAAACAGAATAATAATAGGGTTAGTCTGTATCAAGATTGATGTCCCCTTAATCAACATAAGTGACAACACCAACAAATTAAACTCCTGATAAGCAAAGATCAAATAGTTAACCTAGTAAATTCTTGGAGATTTTAAATAAGGTGAATGAGAATCAACTTAAAACTAATAATTTCTATACTTAATTACTTAGAAGAGATTCTTCCTTTGATCTTAGCGAAAAATATTGTTCGCCTTCATTCAAAAAATGAATGTTTATAAACTATATATAAATAAATTTTATTAATTACAAATATTGTAAGTTTTATAATAAAATGATATATTTAACTTAAAAAATTTAAAGAATAAATAATATTAATTCTTCAACTAAGTTTACTAAATATTAATCTATTGTGTATTTTTATTTGGATTAATTAAAATTTTATTAATTTATCAATATTGGTGAATTGAATTTAAAATACTTATTTTAGTTTTATTTGAGTAATTTTTAATAACTAATTTTATTAATCATTCTTAACTTCTGAGTTGATTGATTTTAGTTTTTCCAAAAGTCGAGTATTTTTGAAGACATTTATCTGTTTTCTTCATCTTTAATCCAGGTGTGAGCATTTAAATATTATGGATATAGGAACAATTTCTAAATATTTGTTTAAAATAAGTATTGCTTTTGCATTTTTATATACAACAATAATCAGTAGTACTAAATATTTTCAATAATTAACCATCTAAATTGAGATATAAAAAATATTTATGAACCTTTCAAACTTATTCATAACTTATTTATAAGAATGACATTATTTTTTATTAGGAAATTCTTTATTCTATCAGGACTAAATTTTACTATTTTTCATTTTATCATCAACTCTTATAATTATTGTTAAATTCCAAAATTTTAATCAGAATTAGTAGGATCAAACTATAAATTTCAACAATTAATTATTATTCTAGTATTGTGGCTTCATGAATGACGGTCTTTAAAGATTTTGAATTTCATCCCAATGGTTTAATTAAATCCCGTGCTATTGCATATATATTATTTTATGTTCAAATCTTGTTTATGACAAATATCCAAATGCTCCAACCTTTTCAAATTTATTATTTTAAAAAATTTTAAATATAACACCTTTTTATATTTTTATTCTTTTCCATTTTATTTCAACATTCTTTCAATTTATCTATTAACTCATCAAATTTCATTGTTTGCTTCAGCTTTGCAAATCCATCTTATCACTTTTATCTCTTTTATTTTTTTATTATTCACTCAAAATTTAATATGATTAATATTCTAGTTAAAATAAATCAATCTAAAAATACTGCATAAAATCTATTATCTGAAATTCGTTCTTTTTAAATTTTACAATTAACTCTTTGTTTTATAAACTTTCCCATCCTGATTCAGTTAAATGATAAACCATCATCATATAAGATAATTATAATAGAAATGTATTTATATATATATATATAATTTATTAGAAATTTAAACCAAAAATAAATTATCTTAAAATAAGACCCATGAATCCCCATTTGTTCTCCTGCTTTTATATCATTTGAACATTTAATTTTGGCAATCCACTTTGTCCAACTTGTCTGTTTTTCTTAATTAATTAAATAAATATAAGTAGAAGTTAAATTCATTCAGATTTTAAAAGAGCTTCTAGCATAGATCCTGGAGCTTGAAAAATCCCACAAGAAGATGTGCTGAATTTCGTTAATAAATACTCGTTAGTATTCACCCATGAGTCTAAGCAATCTTCCTTAATAATTTATATTACTTAGATAATGCGTCGCTGAGCCTTTCTAATTATATTATTTATATTTACCTTATCTTTTTTTGCTATTTCATGTTGATATTTTTTAAAATTTTATTTTTAATAATGAATTTTTTGGATTTTATTATATTAAGTACACTTAATTTATGAATATAAGTTCTGCTAGATTTGATAACGTTCAACTCAAAAATAAATATAATAAGATCTAAATTATATATATATTTTATTTTGCTTTACAGTTAAGATGTCTCAAGAGTTCTTAAGATTTATAGATTCATTTATAACTTCCTAAAGAAACATTCATCGTTCATTAATTTTTATAATTATCTTAACATTTAAATGATTATTTTAGACAAGAGTACTTTCTATAGGATAAACATTTTTTAAATATTTCAGGTAATTCTAAACTTTCTTTCTTGAACTTAAAATTTTAAAAAAATTCTTTTCAAAATCTCATTTTCTTTCCTATTTAGCTAATCCTAAAAATGTTATATTTATTATTAATTCTAAAAAATTGCAAACCTTCTTGAGCTTAAAACAGGTGTTTTAAAATGAATACAATATGTTTTATTTAAAAAATTCTTTTAAAATAGTTAATTTATTTTAGTTTCAATTATTTAATGCATTTCAAATTAATAAAATTGAGTATCCTTTTTAATTTTCCTTTGAAATTTTTATATACTTAAACCAAAATTTCAATCAATAAATATTAAGAATAAAAAAGATATTTTTAAATATCATATCAAACAAGGCTATTTTAGAAATTTTGATATTAATATTACAGAGATCTGTTCAATAATTATTTAGGCTAATTTAATACCTATTCATTCTATGTAAAATAATAAAATAATATGTATATATTATTAAATAATTATTTTACAATATTGAATATAAAATGGGATGCTGCTCTTCAAAAAAATTTTCTATATAAAAAGGATAAAGACCTATATATAAATAGGAAAGCTTAAAAGCTGAAAATAGTTAAATGTTTAATCTATCTTAAGAAAAATGTTTGGATCAATAGTAAGAATAAGAAACTTCTGGAAAACCTAATCTAAAAACAAAGAAAATTAATAAATTAATAAGTCTTAAATATTAAGAGGAAATAATATAAAATAAGGACAATCTTAATGCTGTAGATGATGAATTTTTTTCCTCATAGAATCAACATAATTTGTATAGAATTGAAAAAAGAAATTCAGACTCTGATTATTGATGTATAATTTGTATACTTTAGCTAAATTGAAAGATGTAAAATTTAACGAATTTGTATTTCAAATTTAATTTTTATTAACTTTAAATTTAGTTAGTATGACAAATTTAAATTACAGCAGAAATAATAATTTATCTTTTCTTTATATTTATTAAGCCTAAATGTCCATAATAAATTTTATACTCTGATAAATATCACAATGATCAATGTCATATTATCTTTTGATTTATATAAGATAATAAAAAAAATTGAAAATTGTAACCGAATATGAATGGAGAGATTTGTGGGATAAAGGATCTAAAGATTGGGAAAATTAAGAGATTTATCAACGTGAACATAATATTTTGATATTGAGAAAATAAATAAACTGAATTTATAAGCAAATTTTTAATCTTATTGATATATTATAATTTATTTAATAAAAATGGGTAATAGCAATAAAGTTTAACAAAATGTCATTCATATTGAATTTATGAGTGCTAAATAAAAAATAAGAAAGGATAAAGCTTTGATAAAAAATAAAGTTGATTAAAGCCAGAATGAACATCTCTCGGATATAATATGCGTTTAAGATTTAACTTAGTATTACGAAGTTGACTTTAGATAAACAATACTAACTTCTGATGAAACTATACATGTAAAGGTAAAATTATATAAATAATAAAGAAAATTGTTGATCTGGTTGTTAATCCTAATTCAAAGACTCCAAGTAATTTAATTTAAATTAGTGAGTTCTTTAAGTAGAATGTAAAATCATTTTAAATTTTTTTTAATAACTAAATATACTCTTAAGATGAATAGTAATATTAGTTTGCTTACGAGCCACTCTATATAGAAGTAATTTATAACCCAAAACACTGGATGGAAAAGGCTGTTGAGAAATTTAAAACTTATAGTAATAAGCTGATGTCAGCCCTTGCCTTGATTTCAAAATTTGCTTATATAGCTATTCCTTTATATACTAGTTTATCTGCTCTATAGCCCTTTGTATTACCAACTTTAAAGACAGCCAAAGTTGCTTTGAAATCAACTTAAAATCCTACTTCATAAACTGCTCAAACAGTCATTAAATTTTTGATAAATTAATTAAAGAGAGCTTCCTTTATTGCCGCTCCTATTTTATCACTTTTAGCATAATATATACCAATTTCTAAAAATATGGTTGCAGGAATAGGTCTGTACTTTGGTAAAGGAGTTTTATGGAATGTCATCAAATTAGGGGTAACAATATTTTGCCCCTTTTTGGCTCCATTATTAATGATCTTTGGATGATTAAGGTTATTTTTTATTAATATAATGAATTCTATTAATATAACTATTTATTTAAATTAAAAATATAAGAATTATCAGGATATATTATGCGATGTTAATATTAAATATTTTTATTAATGTCAAATTTATCTATATTTACACCTTTTAATTTTGTCATCTTCTATTATATTCTCATTGATTATCTTAGTCTTTAAATTAAAATATTCAAACATATTTTGATTTATTTAGTTTTAAGTCATAATTTACTAATTATACTCCTATTAAAAAAACATAAATTATAAATAAGAATCATCCTCTTAATTATATGTATGAAATATTTTAGGAGTTATTATTACTTCAAATTTTTAACCATTAAAATTAATTGCTTATAAAGAACTATTAACTTGCTAACATGCCCCTTAAAACATTCCTTAAATTAAATTTGAAAATTATTAATTCTCATCAGAAAAACACCAAGGCAATAATCCTGTCTAATTTATATAATCTTACAAAATCTCTTCATTTATTCCCATTAACTATAAGTATTAACAATTAATGGACTTAATCAAAGTTGTTATTCTACCTTTCTATTTCTTTTAAATATAAACTGCAAAAGAATTTTTAATGCTGTTTTCATATTCTTAAATTTCTTTCTCAGTAGCAACGGCGATTTTTTCTTTACACAATAATTTGAAATGAAATAACTCGAATTTTTCACCTAAAGATGGATGATATTTCTCTAAAGTATTTTTTACAACCTAAAGAGGGGTAAAAGGTCTATCGATTGGCTCAAAATAAAATACATAATTATTCTGCTGTTTATCATATTTTACTATTCTATAATTATAAGAAATAGGATCTACAGCTAATTCACCTAATTATAAATTGGAATTCCATTAAAAAGGAATCATAATATCTGATTCTAATCTAAAAGTTATGTCTAAAGGGATATATGATGGTATTTATTGATTAACTTGAATTATTTATTTAAGCTTAGAAACATCTATATCACTACCAAATTTGAACTCTATTGTATATTGATTTTTTCTTTTTTCCTTTTTAATTGATTTTGATAAGCAAATTGTTTTTTCTTCCTTAATATTTTTTTGATTTTTTAGAAAATTAGACATATGTAATAAGTCTTTATTAAATGTGAAAATAATTTGTAAAATGAATTAATATCTTAATAAACAACTTTTTATTGATATTAAAATCTCGTTATATATAATATTAATTTATTTGATACAAAAAATTAAAAAAAATAATTATTCATATTAAACTATAATGAATATCTAATATAAAAGTAAAATTATGGATAAGATAATTTAATTTTTTGATTTAATAACTTTATTTCATTCCTAAGATCTAAGCATGGCAGGTAAAACAGGAATTTAATTAGCCATATCTTCATCAAACTCAGGCTGAAAGTTAGATTTGGGAGATTCAATGTCAGAAAATTATAATTGCAACTTCATAGGGCTATCTTAAAATATATTTTCTAATTTTGTAGTGTTGCTGTACAAATTCTCGAAAAACTCTAAAATATCTTCATCAATAATATCAAGAATTTTTTTATCAACCTCTGAGATATCATCTTTTTATTATATTTTAACATATGCAACGAATGCTTCTTGTAATCTCATAAATTCAGGTTTTTCATCCTATAAAATAACTTTATAAGCTTGTTTAGATTCAACTATTTTCATCTTTTTTTAAAAGTCATCTCCGAAAATAGCTTCAGGAATAATAGGTTTAGGTAAATAATTAAACAATTTTTGTTACTATTCATTAAGTAGGATTAATTTTAAACGATCTATTTCATATACTTTTGAAATCAAATTAGCTATATCTAATTTGTTCATGAATTTTTCAGTTGCATAATTTATAAGTTATTTTTCTTTTTTTCTACATCCAAAACTCATTACAATAATATCTCTCATAGATAAGTTAAGAGATTATTTTCTTTATTTTAACAATTAAATCATTTATTAATGATTATTAATTTTATCAGTATTTTTAACAAAAATAGATTTGCTCATGGATTTTCCAAGAGATTTTTTACTAGTATAAGATTTCCTACTTTCAAGATCTAATTATTAAGAACCTTTAAAATTAGTTTTAGTTGGAAAAGATGATTTTTTCATATCCTCTTTAACTTCATCAATAGAATTAGAACTTTATTATGCTTAAAGAGCTTCTTAATTTGATTAACTTTCAAATCTAAATAATTTATTTGCCATCTGCAAATTCATGAAGGTTGATGTTACTGGTTATAATAATGCACTCATAGCTAAAAATAAAATTTACCAAAGACCACCAACATTTCCAAAGATATCTTAAAGTTTTTAATACTCTCTATTATAAGAAGCTTATCTTGAATCTAAATTTATTATATGTTAAATAATAAATTAATTGTTATAGTTATCTTAACTTTCTCGATTTTATGATTATACTAATCCATATTCAGTCTGAATATCTTCCATAACATATCCTATATCTGTATCAGATTATGTTATTTTAAAGCTTTGGAATATAGATTTTGAAGTTGAATTTGAAAATGTTGTATATTATAAGTTAATTATATCTTTGAATGGAGTACCTGGGTTTTTCATTTAAACTAAATTATCAATTAAATGAACGGCATAATATCCTGTTTACAATTCTTTCCAAATTTTCTCAGGTGGGGCACAATCAGTTTTATTTGTGGTATTTTTACATTATGAAATTGTAATCTATAAATATTAATATACTGTCCCTTAAACTGTCCCTTAAAGTTACTAAAACTTCATAAAATATTCTTACAGGAGGAGTATTTTGCCACTATTCTACATTAAAACATTAGACAAAACCAAGTTTAATTTTTGAAAAATAAGCTTTTTATAAGTCTGTTACAAAATGTTTTTCACTACAGGGTTCTGTTGGGTATTTGGTACAACTAAATTCTATAATTAATTACTTTTAGGATATCACTGTTTTATTAGTGGTTGGGTCTATTAATCTTTCTCTTTTACAATTTTATACAGTCATTGTAAAATGAGTACCCAATGTTTATAGAGAACCTAATGATATATTAGCCATTGTGATCCCTATTGTATAATTTTTCATCTCCAAAGAATATGCCTATATTTACTATCAAATATTACACTTGTGTCCACTACTTGTTCTTCAGACATTGTTACACGAGGACCTGCTTTAGAGTATAAATCTTCTAATTAAATCATCATATAAAGAATGCAGACCACTGATATACCAACAGTGAATAAAAATCCCAAAGAAGTTGTAAACTTTTCTTGTTTTAAAATTTTAAATGCTGGAGGTTGCCCAAATAAGTCCAGACTACTATAAACTTTTTTTAAAAAGTTTTAAGTTGAGTTTTTATTCTTTTTTTGGAATTTAAGCATTTAATTTAAAATATCTAATTTGTTTTAATTTAAAACTTAAACTTTTTGTATTATATTTGATAAATTTTACTTATCCCATATTTAACACATTAACCATGTTATTATATCATTGTTACTCCCTTAAAATTAATTATTAGTAAAAATTATTTCATTAATATTTTATACTATTTATTTTAACATAATTTAAGTATATATATTTAATATAATTATCAAAATACTCATTAAACAAATCAATTATTTATTTCTCATTTATAAAATTCTTGAATTCTTATATCTATTATTTTAAAAAAAGATTCCCATTATTATTTAGACCTTCTATTGCTTATAATATTGAATAAGCTACATAAATTTTTGTTTACATTTTCATATAAGTATTTATGTCTTAATAAAAGCCTTAGAAATCTAAAATTATTTAACTCTTTGATTTTTTACAATTTAGAACTAATCTGACACAATAATAATTAATATCACTTTTCCTTATTATCTAGACTTATAAATTATTCAATATTGTTTCAAGAATTTTCTCTTAAATTATTGCCTTTTTTGAATAAACACTTATGCGTATAATCTTTCATTTCTTCTAGTTTTCTTATCCATTAAGTTATCAACTTTCTGATTTCTACATTGATTAAATAAAAGTACTATATTAATTACTCTCTTTAAATCGCTTAAAATATATGATTATTAAAATAATAATATCCTTTATTATTAAGACTTTCCCCCAACCTTATATATAGAACTTAAAGCTTTGAATTAGTTTTTAGAGATTCAGATTGATTTACAAGCTTCAGAAGTTAATTTTATTGAAAAATAATTAATATTGGATGATTGGGAGTAAAAACAATAAGAATCATTTTTAAAGTATTCTTTGATAGGTTGTCTTAGAAAACCAATCTGTTGGAACTCTTCATAAATCGAGTTTATATAAAAATAGAAATAATGTATATGTTTATTGTTTAGGTCATAATGTAAATTATAGATTTATTCATGATTTATTAATATTCTATATATTGTTTGAGATTTGAAAATTCGATTTATTAATTATTTTTTTTTTAAGAATATATAGAAACTTTTTATCATTAGGTATTTAAAGTATAAGTTAATTCCTCTATTCTAAATTATAAAAAAGAGAAAAATTCTTGGACAAAAAAAAAAGTTAAATTAAATGTATATTGAAATATAAGGATATTTCAATATAACTCTTTTTATAATAAATTTATGATTCTACATTTATAAAAATTTAGTGATTAAATGATAATATATTTTGAACTTTTTAATTAGTATTTGTGATTTTTTCTCATTTACAAATGTAGATTAATTTTTGTTATAATGTGAATATAATTCAAAATAAAATAATAAAAATGCATTCTTAATAATTCTTAATAATTTTTAAAGATTTAAACAAAAAATTGAATATATAATAATGAAATTAATAAGTTGCTAGTAATTTTATTTAAAATGATAGGAAATAAAAGACATTTGTTTATTAAAATGTGAAATAAGTAGATATGATGATTTATAATCAATAATAATTATATATATATATTATATTAAGTCTTTTTTCGATGGAGTAACTGCTTGAACGATATTAAGAATTAGAAAAACGCAATTCTGAGGAATTAGAACATGATAAATCAATAACTTATTTATTATACATAGAAGGATTTAAGTGGGATGATTTAGAAAAAATAAAGAAAATAAATAAAATTTCACAATCTAAGGTAGAAAAGAGAATAACTTTAGTATAAGATGTAATAATAAAAAAATAGTTTAGTTTGGTATACTAAGGAGAGATGTGGAGCCACATACAGGAGAAAATGATAATTGTAAGAAGTTGGTAAAAGACATTGATATGCATATAAATTCAATAATGTTTGAGATTGATAAATTGGAATAGTTGAAATAAAAATCATAGAGATTCTTAAGATTATAAAGTTAACCTAATTTAAAACCAGAGACTGCTCCAACTGATATAATGACTCAAACTGGTGGTTTATTTTCAAGTACAAGTGATGGATAGAATAGAATGTATAAAAGCAGTTTTCAATTTTATCGTGCTTAAAGAGATTAATAGATTTAATCACATAATTAAAAATGGATAGAGAAATAATATAGCATTTAAAAAAAACTAATAGAAGATGAAAAAGAGTTTTAGAAGTTTCGTTTTGATATTGAAGCAAAGTAAATGAAAGCTGAAATGAATTTAGAGGAATATTAATAATGGTAAGCTCGATAATTAAAAGAATAAGAAGAATTGAATTCGAAGAGATTACAATTACATAAAGATAGAATGTTAAAAGATTAATAATATAGATAAGCTGTATTAGAAGATAAGATGTAGAGAAAAGACAAGTAATTATAAAAATAGATGTCATTATTACAGGATTTTCATGAAGAATAGAAATAGAAAAAGGAGGAACACTTTTTTTAAATTCTTTAAAAGTCTATGGGTGCTTTGAATGATAAAGATAAATTTAATTAATATTAAAAAGAGTAATCAGAAAAAAAAGAATTAGAAAATTATAGAAAATTAAAATATATAGAAGAATCAAAATAATGGACAAAGTAATAATTATAAAAATAAGCAGATATAAAGTAATAAAAAATAGAGAGGGCAAATGTATAATATAATCAGTTTATAATAATAGTAAATATTAGCAACATAAGATATTTAAAGACGAGAGAAATTTGATGAGAAAGAAAAGAAATAATAAAGTTATATGGATAAATGTAAGATAGTATTTTCAGAGTATTAGAATAAGATTAATAAAGAAAAAGAAGATAAAATGCATAATTTTTAGATAGTAAGTCTAAATTATGATGTTAGAATAAAGCTATAGAAGATGCGAGTAAAGAATAATTGATTAAGTATCAATTTGAAAGAAGATCAAATAGTTAGGCTTAGGCTTAGAGATTGAAAGAGAGAAGATTAAAAATATTTTAAGAAGAGAAAGCAGGAGAACATTTAATAAAATAATTAGAGATTAACTAGAGATTAAATTAATTAGAATGGGAATAAGAACTAAAAAGAAGAAAGTAATAAATTATAGAAGAAGAGTAAAAATAAAGATAATTAATGATTGAGTATAATTTATAATTTAGATTATAGGAATGATGCAAGAGAGACAATGAGAGAAAGAGAAAAGAATGCTAGAAAATTAGAAATTGAAAAAGAAATAAAGGAGAAAGAAATGAAGACAATCAAGTTTTAGAAGGTTTGAATAAATTACATTTGATAAGAAAAATTAGTAAAATTTAATTATTTATATTTGAATTTAATGAATAACCAACAACACAATTCCAACTGTCAATTCTGTAAATTAAGATAAACCAAATTTATTTAAAAAGAAATACACGAAAAGTATTTAGTTGTTATAATTGAATAGATATTTTGAATAGTTCAACTTTTATTTTGCTAAACCTATAACAGAAATATTAGCAAATGTTCCTGTAGATCATGTAATTTTGTTTAAGGATTAATTGTACTTACATGATGAAAACGAATACATGAAACGTTTTTATTAAAGAGATGAATAAGATCCAAGATTAAAATTACTTAGCAATTTCTATTTTGAGTAACATAAAGTAAAATATGAAACATAATACAAAAATAGATAACATAACCTAATTTATGTAAAGTTAATGCTCATAAGTTTATGGAGAAAAGATAGAATAAATTGATAAAATTACAATAAAAAGCATAAAATAGTTAGAATCAACAACCTATCACAAAAAAGATGATTCCAGATCATATTTTTAGTGAGAATTATGTTGAATCTGTATCAGAGTAGTATCGACATACTTATTTAGTTCCTATCCGAAGGAACAAATTTCATGGGACAGCAAATCTCATAATATCTATGAGATATCATAAAGTGAAGCATAGAAGTCATTACTACCATTAAATAAACCAACTTAATAATAATAATGTTTTATTATTAATACATCTGGAGATCATAATAAATTATTCAATTGTTAAAATGATTAAGAACTTGATAGTTTATTTAATGACTTTAATCTTTAGACATCAAAGTAACTATCTACTATTACTAAAATTCCACTAAAAAAGAAAATACCATCAAGTGCAAATGCTAAAAAGAATCCATCATCTTTATAATCTCAATAACCTAAGATACCTATTCCCCCTTTAAAATTATAAGAGAGTGCTAAATCTTCAACAACTACAGCTCCTAATAATAATAATAATAATAATAATAAATCAACTAGTATTTAATCTTTAATGAAAAAATATGATCAAATATTACAGAAAAGATTCTAAGTAAAAGAAATCCTTACTGAACGTAATGACACTCGTTATGGTGCTGGTTATGGATCCAGTTGTGGTATTGGTACGTTTCAAGGGGAAGGTGGATCTTCTAAGAAATAAATTACTGATGAAATGCTACTTAAACTAATTTAAAATATGAAAAAATCTAAAAATAAATCTGATAATTATCAATTTCATGCCTCTTATAAAAGTGTTATATAATAAGCATAAAATGGGCCTACTTAATCATGTACATTTGAAAAGGAAAATGAAAAAAAGAAGAAATATTAAGTTTATTTGGTATTATTTTTGTTATTATTAGGATAGCCAAAATAAATTAAAAAAAATCCTTCTTAGATGTCTTCTCCTACGACTGTGCAAAAGTAAGTGATTAAAATTATTATAGTACTTGTTCTCCTTCTATGTTACTTAGATCACTTTCTAATCCATCTATGGCTCCTTCACCATTGCGTAGATTAGAAATTAAACTTAATCTAAATAAATTAATTCAATAATAAGAACAAGAAATTGGTTATTGGACTTAAAGATGCAAAGTTCGTTGAGATTTCATTCAGTCAATTAGTTGATTAAAATACAAATTATGTTTTATAAATTTATTTTAATATACTAACTACCTTAAAATCAAATTAAGGATGAGCATCAATTATGCCTGTAATGTATTTTAATTATATTTAAAGAATTAAGGAAAACTGGGAGAAGACAATCTGTAAACACAGATTTTATGCAATATCACAAACTATCCTAAGTATTTAATTGTGAAGTATAAAAGGATAAGACTTTTACAGAATCCTTTCCCGTATCGCTTCAAAGAACTAAACCAAACTTTAAGAATCAATTATCCCAATTAGAATTGTACAATTCAATATAATAATGAAGCGATGATCATTAAATTGACTTTAAGAATCACCCATTTACATTTTAAGATAAGACCGATTAAAAAACAGAAGTAACCAAAAAGAAATTTATATTTGATGAACATTAATCAACTAAATAAGGAGAATTTAAGAATTTTATGAATGCAATGGATGATTATATAAACTTTTTAAATGAAAGTTCTGATTGTTTAACTTTGAATTCAGAAAATTAGAGTTAGTTAGAAAATATCTTATTTGCAAAATTTAACATAATTCGATAAAAACATGAAGAATTAAATAAGAAATACAAGATGGCATAATAAAATTTTAAAACTTAAAGATAATAGAATTAGTTGCTAAAAAAGTAAATTTTGGAGATTCATTCAGAATTGGATGAAGAAAGATAGAAAAATTGTTTATTGCATGATATCAATGAAAAACTGAAAAAAAAATATAGAGATTTATAAAATAAAACACAATTCTTATAAAATTCATTCATGTAAGATCGAATGAAATTCGAACATAAACGATAAAATTAATATTAATAAAGTATTTCAGTTGATGAAACTGATAGGGGTACAACACAACAAACTTATGAAACAAATGATGATTAATAAAATGTGACAAAATTCTTAAAATCTTAAATGCGGAAGTTGAAGTAAAACAATTAATAAATTGATGATTATTCTCGTCTTTATAAAAAAATTAGTGAACATAATAATGATGACTTTTGATTAATTTAATTTATTATATAAAGCTGTATTACTTTGTGATTAGATGAACACTAACTAAAATTATCCAAAATATACCATTTTTAAGTAGAAATGAAAATAAATATAAAATTATTAAAAAAATTAAATGAATTCGACATAGGAATGGCATTTTCATACAAGTGATAATTAAATTGTGAAATTTAAGAGTGAATTATCACTATTATGTGATTTATTATAAGATAAAGAAATTGATGAGCCATTACCAGTTGCAATAGATGTAAAAAATTGACTTTAAACCATAGTTAGGAGTCTTGAATATAATTAAGAGATTTTGTGAAGTTCATAATTATGAGAGAGAAGCAATAAAAATAAAAAAACCAATAATCAATAATAAGATTAATGATAATTTGGATTTATAATCAATTCAAGTTTTATAATTATCGGATGAACTTTTTGATAAAGTTTTGGCAGCATCTTATTATTTAAGTTTTGATCTTTTAAGATAGGCATGTTTGTGTATTTTAGCTTGTTAAATATATATTGATGATAAAGAAGATGATATTGAAAGGTATAAATAAATTAGATTATAAAATAATAGAGCCAAGAAATAGTATGGTTTAAATGATATAACACCAGAATAAGAAAATGAGGCAATAACAAAGAATAAACCTATTTTTGACTAATTATAGAGAGAATTTTTGGAGATGCTTTAATAGTTCGAAGATGAGCATGATGAAAAGGTAAGATTATAAGAATAATAATAATAATAAATATTGTGAATGACTATATTATCATTATAAAATTAATGTAATGAATATTATAACTCTTATGAAATAAGAATTAGACTCTTCTGGTTTATTATATTCTAAAATTATTAGTTGAGTGTCTTGGTATTACTATGAAAGACAGTTAGCATTTATAGGTGCACTTGACCATTGGAAGAAGTATTTAAATGAAGTTGTATTGTAAGGTTTTATGTTAAATTGATAATTTGATTCTCCATTTTGAAGTAACACAAATTATTCTAATTTAATGCCATTTCCTGTAAGACCACGTCGTAAATTAATAGGAGACGAAAAATCTAGTTGAGATATGAATTTTTATATTCCAATAAATACAACAGTATTTTTGTTATTGTTTGTAATATTGATGTTGATTTAATTTTGAGTCATGTTTGCTTCAATACTTATTTAATTTTAGGCTACAGAATAACTACTTTCAGTATAATTAACAATAGATATTGAACGTAGTAGATAAGATATTTCTGGATCTGAAGTAGTATTAGTAATTTTCTTTGCAAGTTATTAAGTAGTTGAAGTGTCATTTCCTAATTTATTAATGATTTAATAAGTTTTTGTTATTACATCAAAATTTTATGATGTTAAATAGTTGTTTAGATAGAAATAATATTTGATATTTGTATCTGATTCAACTAAGGTTGTATTCAAGATACCTTCATATGATTCATTTAAACTAAGAACATCAGACCATGATTTCTTATTGTAATAAAGTAAATTAAGATTACATATTTGGCATTGTATATCTGTAACATGATGAGCATTAAGAAATAGAAGTTCTTTAATACTACAAATAAGATTATTGACTTAATTGTTAGAGATTTATCTTTAGAATTGTAAAATAATTAAAGAATGGTTTTTAGTGATAAGATTATTGGATTTAGATAAATCATGAGTTATAACATTTGAAACTTTGCCATATTAATTTCTACAGGCAATTTATATTTGCATATCTTATTCAACTTTACTTAATTTTAAAACTTTATTTGAGTTTTTTAAAATACTCGTCATATAATTTAATTTATCCTCACCTATAATTCCATATAAGATTTATCTGGAATATAAAGAAGATTATTAAATTGGTTCAACGCTATTTTCATTTTGTTGATAAAACTAAAGATATTAATTTAGAGGATTCAAATATTGAAATAACCTATATTTATAAAGGTTAACTTCAATTGAAAGTTCTGAAATAACAAATTATCTATTATTATAAATATTGAATGTATTAGTAAGAGTACTTTTAGGACATATAGTCCATAATAATTATCCATCCATTGAACAATTAACAGTAACTTAAGTTGCATTAGCATCAATAGTAGAATTAATAACTAATTCTTCAGGATTAATATTTTTGACAACTTACAAAGAAAAGGAATCAATTGTAAAAATATTAGCTTCTTATCCTGTTAATATAAATGTAACATTGATTTCATCACCAGCTGACCCTGAGCTTGATGCATCTAATTAAAAATAATAATTTAACATTTCTCTTGGATTGCCAGAAATAAATTATTATCTTTATTTAATACTCATTACAATAGGAGCAGGAGTAATGATGGGATCCTTTACTTAAGGTTGAATATACAACTCTGAAGTTGGAATACACGTTGTTGATAAATGAATCGGTTATGATTTCCCTTCTAATGGTATTTTATCACTTGATATACTGACAGTTATATGGCATTTTTTTTATGTGTCAATTTATAATGCTATTGTAGGAATTATAGAAAAATAATCTATAGTTGTGTAAGTGTCAACACTTATTGATTCCTTTTTTGTCATTCTCTTATTTGTAATCTCTCTATCAAAATTTAGATAATATATTCCACTTCCAATATCTGCCTTTGATGAAATGTGAAAATAATATCCAAAATCACCTATCTCAATTGTCATTGTATTTGTTAAAAGCTATCTGATCTAATAAGTCTCTTTAGCTGCATCTTCCTCTAAATTTGGATCTACTAATTAGACATATTCTATTCCCAAGTTATTGTACTTATAAGTATTAGAAATTATCTCATTTGTACCGAAAATGTTTATGACATTCTAACTAATACTTATATTGACTTATCTATCAAATTAAGTTTATGCAGTACTTAAACCCAAAAATAAAAAAATATTCTATTCCATTATTCCTTTGTAGATAGTAAACGTAGGATATTAAGTTTATCCTATCAAAGGAATCAATTTTTAATATGAGTTGTCCTCTTTATTATAAATATACCATTAAAATTATTATTAGTTTTCTTATTATTTGAATATCAGTTAGGTTGGCAGATATTAAATGCAAGGGGGTGCAATAAAATTGATTTATTACAAATTTAAATCTGTTATATAGAATTATACTTCATATGGAAAATATTGTTATAGATTATTCAAGGAGACCAAATCTGGAGTGATCAAAGATCGAATTTCCAATTAATATTATTATTATTATCTTGAATTTACTGGATCATATATCAGATTTATTTTTATTAGTTATTCTCTCATAAATGTGCAAGAATTTGTCAAATTCGTTTTCGTATTATCATTCATACGATACAATCTACATTCAAAAGTGAGATTAGTAACTCTTTTTAAAGGAATTCTAAATTCTTCTCCCAATTATATAATGATACATTTATCAAAATTAATAGTTCTTATTGGAGCTGTGAAATTAACTCTTAAATATACTTTATTGATTCTTGATATGTATTGTGAAAACTAAATACTTGCAAATGGCAATAATCTAGGAAGAGTTGTTTAAATAGGTAGATCATTAATATAGATATGTTCAGAAAAAGTGTTCTAATTGTTTGATAATAAGGAACCTATCCAAATTTTACCAAAGCCATCTAAAGATTTTGGTTAGATAATAGGTCCAATACTAATATTATACAATCTATTTGGATTCATACGAGTATAGAATGATTATTAAGGGAACAATATGATTCTTCTTTAATTCATAGAACAATCTACATTAATATCATTAATTGAACAATATAGATGTTAAGGTCTAACAATTTATCCAGTAGATAATTCTACATAGATTTAGTCAGAATAAGTCATATTGGTTCTTGATGGTATGAATTAGAATTAATAGTAAGCTCCAATACCTGCTGCATTAAGTAACTTAATTAATTTAGGAGTAGTAGTGTAGCTTTTTTCTGAAATTAATTTGATGGTACTATATTAAATATTAGCAGATTATAATCCTGTATATTTATTATCAATAGTAGAATCATAATATGCCCAAGTAAGAATCAAGTCTTCAGTATTCGAACCATCTGGATTTTTAATATTGGTGCATTTAATTTGGTATAATTAAACTGAAGAATAATATAAGGGTTTTAATTCAAAGATTAATTATCTATTAGAGGGATCATATTTAAGAGATTACCAATGATGATTGAGTGATCCATCATCATTATATAATAAACATCTATGATTTTATGCTGATAATAATTGCATATTAGTTGAAGTCATAAATCCTAATTGCAATTACATGCATTAATGAAATAGCAGATTAGCTCTATTATTAATTTAAAATTTCATCGACATAATAGATTTACTATTTGAATATAAATTTTCTAATTAAAAGTCTAACATAATTAGATTTTTGGATAAAGTCAAATCTGAAAAAGTTAATTATCCATCAGTTGAACATTATTCTATTATATTGGTATCAGTATTGTAAGTAAGTTTAGCTTGAAAAGATTGTTAATCAGTATCTAATCCAGAATGAGTGACATAAAAAACAATTTAGAGAGAATCTTATAATAGATAATAATCACTATTATCATCTGTGGCAATAATCTTAGATTTAAATTTAATTATATTACCACTACTTATAACATTACATGAAATAAATAGATTTCTGTTTTAATAAATACAAAATGAATCAATACTAAGTCCATTAGGTAAAGCACTTAATTCTAAAATAATAAAGAAAATTGAATTTAAGGCAAATTAATAATTTAAGGTAGTTTTAAAAGTGATACTTTATTCTTAAACTTTACTATTAGGATAGATGGGTACCCAATCAGTAATAGTACAGGTTGAAATAAAAGCATCAGCTTAGGTTGATTAAATTTCATTTTTGAATGCTACCATATTTCCAGGACTGTTAGAAAAAGCATATTTAAAATCTGATAAGATTGTTCCTGCGCCCCATTTAGTAGGTACAATAAATTATCCTGTAAGTATTCCAGATATTTCGATATAATCAGCTAAATCATATGGACAAAATAAAATATCTTGAGCCTTGATACATTTACCACCTGACCAAGTAGTTGGTGTAAAATGTAAAGCATTTGACATTAAAAATCCACTTCCCCATAATTAAGCACTATTGGTATTAACTATATTACTAGCATCATTATGTTATGTTGATATAGTTAATTCTATTGTACTACCTGGTTTAATTTTAGTTATATCATTAATTTTATAAGTTGCAACAACATTACCAGCACCTTATAAAGAATTCCAATCATTATTGTTATCCCAATTACTTGATGGAAATTGAAGTCCAAAACTTTTATAATACGTATTTCCACTAGCCATATTACTAATAAACCATGCTCCTCCAAATATCCTTTCTATATAAACTACATCAAATCCATTATTATCTTTATTTAATTATAAGGATCCTACAACTATTGATTCTGGTTTTATTCCATAATTACGTAATCCAATTATTAAATCAAAAGCACTTGATCCTGCAAAATCTTTTAATAATATCATCCTTTGATTACTGTATACATCTGAATATGTATGTGTAGTACCAGATCCTCTATGTCCATACCAAATACAATTTTCTATCGAACATAATTTCTTGCTTGTTGTACTTGTACCTAAATCATCATTCTCTTCTTTAAGTTGAATTGAATCTATCAAAACTGTCTCTACAGATCCATCTAAAAATATTCCTACATGTTCACTAGGTTATGTTACTTATCCTAACAATCTTAAAAATGTTGGAATCTTTTCACCTTTATTCTATCCTGTTATTGTACCTGCTCCTGCTCCTGCTGTTATATAATTTACATATGAAGCTGATAATGTTCTTGCATCTGTTCCTATCACATAACCATGTATTAATTATTAACTAACTAATATAGCCATTGATTCTGAAGAACCTGTTGGAGCCTAATAGAATGCTACTATAAAATCTAACAAATTATCTGATGGATATAAAGATGGATATTTTTATATTTCACCTGCAAAACCAAATCCTTTACCTCCATTAAATAATTATGTGCAAGTATTATAACTTTTAGAACATTTCATTAACATATATACATCCTTATCATTATAGTACCTTAAACCTGAGGTACATTATGTACATGAACTTGATTATTCTATTGTTATTGTATTCTCATCAACTTTAATGTTTTCTTTGTTGAAGAAAATTTTCATAAATAGTTCAGGTTATTATCCAGCACTACAATAAGAATATGAAGATGAACACATCTGATTTGGTAACACTTTTACATAAAATATTATTCTTTATGAACCAAGTTTTAAACCTACTGTTTTTGTATTAGCTATTGAATATGCTGATCCAAATGTTGTTGTATTATCACCATATGAAACGAAATTGTTACCCCAATTAGTTACACCTTATGCTGCAGGATCAATAAATTCTTAACTTGTTTATACTTTGATGTTTTTCCCTGTTGGCCCAGCTAAAAAATATGTTTTATAAGGCTTAGTTAATCTTGTTACTGATTTTATTGTTACTCTACCAAAATTTGTTTATGTTGATGATGCTGTAGAAGTAAATGCACACTTAAATGAAACAAAATAATTGAAGTTATCCTTTAAGGAACTTACATATTTGCAATATATTTATTATTCACTTTTTCTAAAATAACATTTAACATCTGAACCCATATTGTGTGCTATTGAATTTTATAAAACTGCATCTGCATCTCCAGTAGTGATAGTGACTAATTGTTCTGAAGGTGGAGAAGGAGAATTTAATGAAAATTAAATTTTAACGCTATTAAATGGATAACCTACAGATCCAGCGACTGGTTTATATAGAGTTATTAATTAATCATCCATTGGTACACCCCAAAGTAAAAAAATATCTACTGTCAAAGATAATTTTGTCAATTTTATTTAATCTTTCTTTAAACCATATTCAAGATAAGCATTTCCAACAACTGAATAAACTGTTATGGCTGTAGATTATGTGGCACTTAATAATATTTTACTATTCTCTATATTAGTTGTAATTGTTGTAGAAGAACCTTCCTTTGCTAAATCAATACTACATTAAATATTCAATTAGTATGTTGACATTATTGTACATGAACAACCTGAAGTAATTTCACATTCAATTAATTCATCAATCATTAAGAATTTATAATTGGAATCAATTTCAACTAGAAATTAAGACTTTTATCCAATGGTGACAGTTGGTGTAATTTAAATAGTGACATGTTGAGAGAGTCCAATTTTAGCTGGTTCATAAGTAAGTTCTAATTTTAATGATTAAGGTGGTAATGCTTAGAGTGCAATTTGAGCAAAGGCAGGATTTTCATCGTAAATAATAGATTAAGAATGGAAAGATGAGACACTCCAGAATTTAACTGGATTTTTATAACCTGATGTTTAAACAGAAGGATTATTTGCGTAGAGTATAATGACATACCAAGTTTTAGGATTGATGATTTGATTAAATGTAAAATAGTAAGTATTATCAGTATTACCTAAACTAGATGTTTCAGCTAGATCTTCAAAATTAATAGTATTATCTTCTCCTAATTAACCTAAATCCCAATCTCCGAAAGATCCATCAGATGAAGTAGTGATAGTCTACAGTTTAGCTTAAATAGAGCCTGTATGTAGAGGGAAGGGAAATTGAATTTTGAGATATTCATCAGGATGTATCCCACTTTCAAGTGCAAATTATAGACGAAACTATGTAGCTTTAGTTGCAATAGGATTTGTAATGGTAAGACCACCAGAGTAAATGTGTCCGGCTTAGACATAAAAAAGTAGCAAAATAATTATCATTTATAATAATATGCATAATTTATTATGAGTGTTATGCATTATATTTAACAACTTGATCTATCACGATATATTCCTGGTGGAGAAGCTCTGAAAACACCGTGTAATTAAAATAAACCAGATAAAGTTAAACTATGGGAATTAGGAAAAATAAGATGTGTGTCATATTGTTTTTAATTTACAGGAAGAATAGCACGAGAATAAAGATTTAATATGTTTTGTACCTATTTTAGATCCAAATTACATGTATTACATTCTAAATTGGGATCTGAAATGCATTGTCGTAATTTCATTAAGGAGATGCTTGATACAACAATATCAATTTTTTTACTTATTGTGAGATATGAATGTGGAGATGAATTGTATCAAGAAATGAGAAAATACTTTAAAATTCTTATGGATGCTGTTGATCATTTAGCTACTCATGATTCAGTTGAAACAGTCACAGAAATTATAACATCAGAAGACTTCTATAAAATAATCTTTTATTTGAAACTATTGAATTTGATGAGAAATATTAAATAAAGGAAGAAGTTTCTAGAGCATTATCCTCATGCTGCAATAAAAGCAATTTAATAATGTTATCTATATAATGTTATAATAAATGGACCAGTCAAACATATTAAATATCGTTTTGCTGTAGCTAATCAAGATTATGCTAAATATGGATTACAATTTAATATTCCAACTAACAATAAACTTGTTAACAAATAAAGAGTTGCTGAAATCTGTTGGTAAACCTTATACGATCTTAATATAGCTGCTGTTATCAAAGAAGGAATATGGGATGATTTAAAATTGTATTTATGATATTTATATCAACAATAACCTACACGATCTCTTGGTATGATCTTCAATTCTGAACCATGTTTTAAAAACACATTTCCAGATGTTTATTAAAGTGACACTCCTGTACCTGCATTTGTTATTATAGCACTTGTAGCTGGATTCACTTTAAACTATTCTTTATTATATTATTCATTTACTTCTTCTGCTACATATTTTACAACAGCACTAAATGGAGCTTCTTATGGGACTCTATTTTTATTATTTATTATATATTTACGATACTGTCCTGAAAGCCAAATTTGGATCAGAGGTATTTACTATCTTAAAAGTCACCTTATTTTACATATATAATTTTTATTAATGCAACACGATTCTGAAAGTGAATAATAATATTTCAATGATGCTGATGAATACTTTCTTAATTTACCATAAAAATGTTGGGAATTCAAAAGAGTCAGAGTACCTAATATACTTTCAGGAGCTAAAGATATCTATATTAAAAAATGGATCAAAGTCAATGATATTTATGATACTAAACAATAGAAACCAAGAATTAATTATTAAGCTTCTATCAATAGAACACATTAAGAATTATAGAGACTATTAGCTAATAGTACTACTAATACTTAAGAATTAAGTCAATTATTACAGAAAATGACATAAATGAAAAAGGTAATTCAATTATTTTACACACCAGCAAGCTGTTGCTTAACAACCAAAAATAAAAAAAGTTAATGTTCCCAAATTTTATGTATGTCCTGTAACTACTTGTAAAAAAACATTCTTTGATAATTCTAAATTGAGAAGACATCAATTAGTACATACTGGTGAAAAACCTTTTAAATGTGAATTATGTTAAAAAGGATTCTCTTTAGATTTTAATCTTAAAACTCATATGCGTACTCATACTGGAGAAAAACCATATTCATGTAGATATCCAGATTGTCAAAAGAGATTCAGTTAATCAAGCAATTTAACAGCTCACTTAAAAAATCATTAAAACCCTGATTATGCTGGTATTTTTATATTCTAATCTAATAAATAGCATCTGAAAGTGAAGAAGTTATAGATGAGTTAGAAGAAGAAATTAATGAAGAAGATGTTGATTAATGAAATTTTATAATAATTAGTTGGCAAAATTATTTTTTCATTAATAATGGATACTAAGGCATACTCAGAAATCTCTGAGAAAGCATTAATTACTGAGTTGTACAGAAGATATCGTTGTTAAGAAGAAGGATTGAAGAAACGTATTGTATTATTAGGGATGCCTGGAGCTGGTAAGTTGTACGTTTTATTTTTATAGGAAAGGGTACACATTCAGCAAAAATGCTTGCCCGTTTCTGTATGTGTCATTTATCAACTGGAGATCTTCTTAGAGAAGAAGTTAGGTCTGGAAGTGATTTTGGAAAACGTCTTAAAGGTATTATGGATAGAGGAGAGTTGATTGAGGATGAAGTTATGTGTAATCTAATCAAATACCAACTAGCCAAGTAATTATTTTTCTTTACTTTAGACCTGCATGTGCTAATGGAGCTATTTTAGATGGATTCCCAAGAACTATTCCTTAAGCTCAAAAATTAGATGAAATTTTAAAACAGAGTGGATAATAGATTGATCAGGCTATCTTCATGAACGTCAAAGAAGATACTGTTATTGATCGATTAGGAGGTAGATGGACCCATCTAACTTCTGGAAGAACTTATAACTATAAGTTTAATCCTCCAAAATAATATGGAAAAGATGATATTACAGGAGAAGAATTAATCTAAAGAGAAGATGATAAAGAGAGTACTATTAGAAATAGATTAAGAATATATTAAAACAAAACATTACCAATCGTTGATTATTATAGATAGTATAAATTCATATATATTGTTTTAGAAGAAGCATTTTGCATGAGATCAATGCAGAAAGATAAGTAGATGAAATTTGGAGAGAAATTAAGAACATTGTTAAATAGAAATGATTAGTGTATTTTAAATCTTAAATAAAATTGAAATAAAGTAAATCTTTATTCATTATTTTTAAATAATACGTACTTTCTATTATAAATACTCTATGTTTAATAAAAATATTATAATAATGCTCATATTATTTATAATTACAGTAGCAACTGCACGGCTCATAACAAATCTTAATAAAGGATGGAAATTTAGAAGATCTGATAATAATACATGGTATCCTGCAAATGTGCCATCTACAATTCATATGGATCTATTAGACAACAAATTAATAGAGGATCCTTATTTTGGTAAAGAGTTGAATAATGTTAGAGGATAATTTGTTGGGTATATATGAATTAGAATTACATGATTGGGAATATAAATTGGAATTTACAAATAAAGAATTCAATTATGACATAAATGAATTAGTATTTGAAGGATTAGACACTCATGCTGATATTTATTTAAATGATGTCTAAGTATGTAAATAAAATTTAATAGGAAGATATTAAAAGCAAATAATTAGCATAGAACATGGAGAGTGAAGATTTAAAATTTATAAGTTTAAAATACTTTAAGAATATATTTTCATTCTGCAGCAAGACATGATATTATGAAATAATTATAAGATAGTCCTTTGAATTTACCTTAAAATTTTACTTATTCTCGAAAAGCTGCATATCATTATGGATGGGATTGGGGACCTAGAATGGTGACATGTGGCATATGGAAAGATGTTTATTTAGATTAATATAATTATGGAAGAATTATAAGTATGCATGCTAGAGCATTAGAGATTTATGAAAAAAATGTTGTTATTGAAATTAATATTGAGACTTATTTAATAAATGTTGGTGTTTATACAATATAAATTTATTTCAAAGATTTAGATGAAATTATTATAAATAATCAATACCCATTAAATATAATAAACACTAAGTTATTATATAATTTAAGTGATATTGAATTGTGGTGGCCAATAGGATAAGGATAACAAAAATTATATAAATTATAAGCATACCTTATTAAAAATGAATCGTATGTTGATTATATAAAGATAACAACAGGTTTTAGAATTGCTTAGTGGATATAAGAAAGAGATGGAGAATAAACTTAGTCATTTAAATTTAGAATTAATGGAAGAGTAAGTTATCTTCTTATTTAAAAAAGGATGTATATTTAAAAGGTGCTAATTATATACCACCAGAGATGTCGTTACCTAGAGCATTGAAGAATCCTTCAATATATGAAAGAATATTTTAAGATTCAATAGCAGGAGGTTATAATGGTTTAAGAGTCTGGGGTGGAGGTTAATTTGAATATGACATCTTTTATGAATTAGCAGATAAATATGGTATTATCATTTGGCATGATTTAATGTTTGCTTGTGCTATGTATCCAGGAACTGATGATTTTATTGCAAATGTTTAAGCAGAATTGAAAGATAATGTAAAAAGACTTAGAATTCATCCTTCTATTGTTTTATGGAATGGAAATAATGAAGTAGAATTAGGATGGAAAGAATGGGGTTGGTAATAAGATAGGGTTAATTAAGAAATAGTTATACTTTAATAATGGTATGATTCATTATTTTTATATGCCATTCCTAATATTCTCATTGAAATACAGCCAGAAATGTATTAATCCATATATCATATAGATTTTATTGGCCTACATCTCCATCTACTTCTGCTAATAATGTATCAGAATTAGGATCTGGAGATATTCATTATTGGGGAGTTTGGGCTTCTAAACATTAGATTGAAAATTATACTAAATTTATAGGTAGATTTAATAGTGAATATGGAATGCAATCTATGATGGATGTTAATAATTTAAAAAAAGTCTTACCCAAATCTTATGATTTGACTTTTGATTCACCTATTTTTTAAATCCATTAGAGATATTTTCAAGGAATTCCATTAATCTAAGAATACTTAAAAAATTACACTAATTACAATCTAAAAATTCACTCATTCTTATAATTAACATATTGCTCCTAAATTATTCAATATTTATCATTACAAACTGCTATATCCTCATTAAGATCTGCAAAACCTTATAATATGGGCACCTTTTATTGGTAAATTAATGATTTATGGCCTGTTATTTCTTGGGCATCTGTTGATTATTATGGTTGTTGGAAAGCAGGACATTATGCTGCTAAAAAGTATCATTCTGATCCTGTCATCACTGCTAAATAAGATTAAGATTAGATACAGGTCTTTTTAGTTAATGATAATGTATTAAATTATACTGGAAATGCTACTTTACTATTAAAATAATATAATGGTTCTCTAGTTTAATCATGGGAATATAAGTAAGTAGAAATCTCTTAAAGTGCTTCAAAAAGAATATTGAATTATTATGTTCCAAATTATAATCAAACATACAAGTCCTTATATTTATAAATGAAGTATTTACAAAATAATAAATAGTTTTTATTGTGATCAAAAAAATTGTGATTATAAAGGCATATACAATTTTGGCAGACCCAAAGAATGGCAGCTTTAAAAACCTGAAATTTCCTATACTTTATAAGGTAATACAATCACATTTTTATCGAAATCATATGCTAAATATGTTTATGTATTTAGTAACACTGATTGCATCAATCTTTCTGACAATTTCTTTGATTTAACCCCTGATGTTCCATACATGGTTACCATGAAAGAACCAAGATTATTTAATTTCTTCAGTTATTATGATTTGTTAGTGAATGCAAAAAATAGTGACATTCTGCTATTTAGTTTTGGAGTAGGCGCACTTATTATGTATATGATTATATGATTATATTATTATCCTAAGATCGAAACATTCTTCTATATTAAAAAAAAATGATTGATATGATAATTAATTGAAATTTAAATTTCTTTTAGTGTTTAATAAGAAAATTTTCTAAATTTTTAGAAAAGATGTTCTCAGAATCTTTATTAAATTATTTTATCTAAAACTTATTTTATTCTTAATAATGGATTCTGTCAACAGAAAAGATGATAAGTGTACATCTATGACTGACAGTACTTAATTCAAATCATTTATCTTAAATAAAAATACCAATATGAAAGAAAAGTCTAAATTTGTAAAGATCACTCCTCAAAATTCACTTAAAATCTAAATAAAGAATCCAATTAAAAAATAATTAACATTCACATTACCTACTGAAAGATCAAGCAATTTGTCTAGAGAAATCGAATAATTTAATGATAAATTTTTGGTAGAAAACTTAGAAAAAAAATAGTAATAAGTTTAGCATAAGACTTCACGATTTAAGAATCTTTTATTTGGAAGGCGGATTAAAACATCAGGAGATCACTTTTAAGATTATAAAGAAGAATATAAAAAGGTAGTGGAAGCTGGTTATAATGAAATAGAAGAGAATTTTTAATTGTAAATTATTATAAATTAATATTAGTTGTTAAGCATCTTTGCACGAATAAAGATAAAATCTAATGAATGCTGAAATAGAGTTGTAAGAAAATTAAAAAGAATTAGACATACTTTAAGATCAAATTAGTACATTAAAAGAAGCTATATTTTTAACTAAAGGTTAAAGTAAAAAGTCATTGAATGACATTTTATTTAGAAATCGATTAAGATAAAATAAAGAAAGAAAATTAACATAAGAATTATTAGAATTCATAAATCATCTTTCAATTTAATATGATTATCATATTGATTCTTTGAAAGAATATTTATAAAGTTTTAAAACAGAACTAAATGAAATATTAATTGAAGATGAATATAGTGAAAAGCCTTGATTAATTTGAAATCTTTATTTTTTCAATGATTAAAATAACATTAATATAATAGTAATTGTTCCTTCAATTTTTTATTCCACATTTTTTATTTTTCCACATCTTTAAAGTGATTTGTTTCTTCATCATAATCTTTTTCTATTTGAATATATTCCTTTAAATTTTATTTAAAGATATTTCTAATTTATTATTAATGATTATTTGACTTAATTACATCAGAGGATTCTACTTTTTTCTTAAATTCTAAAGCAGAAAGACATCCAATTAAATAATGTCCTGTTTCATGTTCTAATAATAGTTCATCTTTTTTTTATTTAGCCCAAGATTTCTCAAGAAATTTACATTTAACACTCAATTTTATTTTGGGAACATTTGGAGATTATTTTCTTAAAGCAGAGCTAGAATTACTTCTACTAATTGTTCTTTAAGGTGAATTACTAATGTTTGGAGTAGGTAATCTTTTGATTTTATTAACACTAGCTGTTCTAACATTTTCAGTTTTGATATTTAATTAATTAACTTGATTAATTTATTGTAATGGTATTCTTGGTAAACGTAATGGAGATTATTCTCGATAATTAAATTATTCTTTATCTTGAGCAAAATAATATTCATAAGAATTATTCCAATAACAATGAGCAATCCAAGGGGATTAGTCATCTGGTTTTCCAATAAAATCTCTCCATTCTAATCGTTTAATTTCAAAATTTTAAATTCTTAAAGGTAGAATATTTCGAACATATTAATCATCAGAAAGTTTGAATTCAAGATTTAAATTGATTCCTTTTTTAGATAAATCTTAAATAGAGATGTTACCTTAAAATGAAATTGATTTCATTTTATTAAATTATTTTTTAACAACTAAATTTTAGAATGAATGAAGAATATTTTTATAATACATTGACCAGAACATTGAATAAAAATATAAATTTTATATCATCAAGCAACGAATTATTACACTTCATCATCATTAGTATATTAAGGTTAAATTAGTGAAGTTTTTTATTTTTTTAATCTTTGAAAACCTCTCCTAGCATTCTGTTATATTAAAACAGCAGCCATAAATTAGCCACTATCAAATTCAGTTTCTAAATTTGATACTTGAGAGAATGCTTTTTCAATTAATGGATGCAATTTTTATTTAACAATATCTTTAGAGATCTCAAAGCTAAAAATATAAACATTTTTACTTAGATATAAATCCACTTGATTCTAAGAAATCTTAAGCTACACAAATAAGTGCCTGATAATAATAATATTTATTTTTGCCATTCAAATTATAAACAGGTAAATTCAATTAAGCCATTCTTAATCTTTATTGAGCTGCTGAATATTTCAATTTTTACCACTAAAATAAATATAAAACTATATAAATACTCCTAATGGTTATGGTAAAGAAATCATAAATTATGTGAAATATTTACATTGTATAAAACCAGTAGCATCTTTATCATAATCTTTCCATAATTATTAAAAGTTTTCTACATCTAACTTTTTAATTGGAGCATTTTCTTCTTTACTAGTATTTTAGAATCCCTACAATATTAATTTAATTGATATTTACTTCAATAATAATAGCAACAAATAGATTCAACATAATTAAAGAAACAATTATCATGAATACAATCATTAATACAATTCCAGCAGGATTACCACAACCCATAAATCCATATTCAAAATAACTTGCATAATCATTAAAATCAAAACATATATCATTAGGTTATGAAATTCTAGCAGTATCCATCATAACTAAGTTCCAATCTTCTCCAGTTGAACATTTAAATAATGTGAATAAGCTAATTTCAAAAGAACTAAAATTAGAATTTTCAGTAACACCTTCACTTCTTTTTACATATGGAAATAAATTCATAAAAATAACAGCAAAAATAAATAACATAATTCCTAATAAACCTCCTACACTCACTAAACCAGGTAATGTTACAAGAAATGTTCCAAATATTATTCTTAAATTCTTAGCACTTTTTATTAATCTCAATACTCTAAAAATTCTAAATGTTCTTAAAATAGATGTTGCTGTTCCAACATTACTTAATACATTACTTTATTCTAATAACACTCCTAATAATGTTAAAAGAACAACTGTAAAATCAAATACATTCCAACCAGATGTAAAATAAAACTTTCTATATACTATTAATTTAAGTATTGCTTCTATTGAAAATATAGCCAAAAATATCCAATTTAATATTTAAATAGCATCTGACAATTCTTTTGGTGATCTCAAATATTAAATCATCATAACACAAGTATTTAAAATTATTACACTCAAAATAAAAATCTCAAATTTATCACTAGATATAAATTCATTGAGTTTTCTTATAAATTTATGTTTTGATATTTTAAATTTCTCTATAGGAGTACTTGAATAAATCTTTTTTTATATTTCATACCATTCTAATTCTTATTTTGTTAAGTCTCTCATTTAACTTAATCTATCTTTTTCACTTTAAAATGCTTCAACAATAACTCCAGCAAATAAATTAATTATAAAAAATGAACCAACAATAATAAAAAAAACAAAATAACATGCCCATCCATATGCATTATTTTCTTTTGGATTCAGATTAATACCTCTACTATCAATTCCATCAGACATTAAATTAATCCATCCTTCTGTTGTTGATATTACAAATAAAGTAATCATAGCATTTAAAACATTATCAAAATTAAAATTCTTATTAACCCATGATCCACCATTATCAAAACATTCTAATTTATCATTAACTTCATATATATCACAATAATAATAGGCTCCTTTAAATTAGTTAACACCAAATATTCCAAATAACAAAAAGAAAATTAGACAAACTAAAGCAATATTCATCATCTAAGATAAACTATTGAATAAAGCATTTATAGACATTTTTAAATCTTCATTTCTGACAATCAATCTAAGTGGTCTTAACACTCTAATAACTCTTAAGATCTTTATTTTTGAAAAGGTTTATGCTTAATTTTCATCAAAAGCTAAAGAAGAAAAAATAATAACTATGAGATCTAATATATTTCCTGCAGATCTGAGATAACTTTCAGGCCCATTGATAATAAATCCCTTACTAATTATTTTTAATATAGCTTCGAAAATAAACAAAGCTGTAATAATCTCATCCACAACATTAAGAGCTCTATTATTAGATGATGAAAGAGGATCATCTAATGCTAATAAAATACTTGAGATTATAATAATAGTTAAAATAAATAACTCAAAATACTTATGATTTATTAATTTATTAACTTAAAATCTAATTTTACTTTAAGGTGGAAATATAAATAAAGAAACTCCTTCTAATAATGATTAATTGTTTGTACTATTTAAAATTATTGCTGATGCCATAAATTATTATGATAAATTCTTAAATCTTGTAGCTGAATTATTATTGGTTTATTAATTAGATGCAGATTTTATAACTTAAAATGATTATTGAATCTATTCTGGTGATACTTGATTTATTTTTATACTTTATTAATTATCTCCAATAGATTAATCATGTCTACTGGAATGTTGAATATGATTTTCTTCAACAGCTGACATAGAATCAAGATTAGCTTCATGAAAATTATTTATCAGAATAGCAATAAATAACTTAAGTAGAATGAAATTACCAAATATAATTACTACTACAAAATAAATAACTGGATATATAGATTCTAAATCATACATAAACGTATAAGCAATAGTATTCCAAGACTCATTTGTTAATAGCATAAATACTACTAACATAGATGACAAATAATTATTAAAATTATATCGATATGGTGTTTTATAAGCAAATAATTCCATTCCTAAAAGAGCTGCAACAGACATAAATAATAATAAAAGAATAATAAAATAAGCTATTCCACTTATAGTGGCTGCAATAGCAGTTAATAATTTTCTAAAACTATTCCATGTACGTGCTAATTTAAATAATCTAAACAATCTAAGTGTTCTAAATGCTTAAATAGCAGAGAAACTTCCTCCACTTGAATTATTACCAGCACTACTAAGAATCCATTCAATTAATGATAGAATTACTATTACTGCATCAAAAATATTCATTGAATCTTTCAAATAATTTGTATCAAATGCTATTAATTTCAATACCATTTCTATTGTAAAAATGACAGTAAATATCTAATTAGCTACATCTAATATATCATATTCAGTTTTAGAAATTGGATATCTATCTAATGATAAAGTTAATGTATTTAGTATTATTATGGAGGTGATGAAAACCAGAAAATACCTTTATTATTATAAAAAAGTACTTATTTTCTATAATGACTATTAAAACCATTTAAAATTCTCTAAATTTAGTTAATTTTGATTTAGAAAGTCTTTATTTTGATGATAATCTACGTGGTTAATTAACTTGTTCTAAAGTATTACTTTTAGAAACTTATTATTATTATTCGACGATATTTTGATTACCTTAATTTTTTATTGCATTTATATCATTGATATTTTATTAATTTTGATTATTTATTTAATGTTCATGTTCTAATTGATGGTTTTAAGTTTAATCTCCATTATTAATATTACTAGTCAAAGCTACTGGATCAATTTATTAATCTCCTTCCTAATTCTATTCACCTTCCTCATCTTATTCTTCTTAAGGTAAAGATGAAGCTGATGCTTATGAATTTTTAAAACTTGATCTCATTTAAGCAGCCATAAAACTATCATTAATGACTGCTAATATTAAATTTACAACAAAGAAAGATCCCAAGAAAATTAGTAATAAAAAATATATGTAAACTATAGTTGTAGACAAGGCTTCTTAATAAATAAAGATTAACTTTGTCCAACCTTCAGTTGTTAATGCTTAAAAAATAGTAAATGTAGCTGAAATAATATTATTAAAATTTGTATAACCAAAATTGAAGTTTTCATCATCTGATTCTTATTAAGGTAAATTATAAGTATTTGGATTACCACAATATGTTCCTTCTGGACAATTTGAAGAATCTTAACATAATTTTTAATAATTTGATGCCTTCCAAATATTTCCAACAGGATATTCTGTCAACCTACATCTATTTTCTAAAGCTCCCATAAATATTTATAATCCTAATATTCCAAAAAGGATTATAATAAATAGTAAAAATATAACTACATTACCCAAAGCAGGCAAAGAATCTAATAATGTTATGATTAGAACTTTCATCTCCTTCAATGAATTTATAGATCTAAGTGGTCTCATTATTCTTACGATTCGAATTGCTGAAACTCTAGCAGAAATAAAAAGTGAAATAATTCCTGTTATTACAACAATAAAATCAATAAAGTTCCATCCATCTCTTAAATATGTCTATTTATCAAGTAAAAACCCCATAGCAATTACCTTAAGAAAGAACTCTATAATAAATATTGCTGTAAATATGTAATCGAAGCTGTCTGTCCAATTATTCGGTGCCTCTGAATTTGTCTCTCTCCAACTATAGTCTTATATAGCCAATAAAATCGAATTTAATAAAATTACAGTAATGATGAATCTATCAAACCAACTAATATGAATTTAATCGATATTATACATCCATTCAACCATCCAAATTGCCCATAATCTAATTTTGTTCTCTGCATCGAATAAATTAAAAGACTTTTTAGTGTACTAAATTTAATAACATTTTCAAATACAGATAATAGTTTGCCATGCACACTAAATTCTACTAAATCTCCAGGATCTTCTTTACCTTATCCAATCATCTAATTTTTATATCATAAACTTCATACTTAATTCACTAAACTTGATAGATGAATGAAACCTCTTTAGTTTTCCTTTGGCTAATTCTATATAGGCGCTTCATTTTAAACTTCTAGTTATGCAGAAATTTAATATACCTTAATCACTCATAATTTTATAATAAATGCTTGTAAGTATTTATCCTAGAACTCAACTATAATTTTTATAAAATAAATCAAAATCAGTTCTTTTATAAATTTGAGAATAAGCCACTTCCAGTTTAATTATTTGAACTAAAATTAAAAAGTCCTCCTACTTAATTTTACTGGCTTTATTCTTATGGTTATTATTAAAAAGAAAATATTATATTGCCAAATAAAGATGTTCCAGGTTTTGTTTATTATTCAACTATATTACTTTAAGTTTATTGAGGAGGTATTTAAAATAAATTTTATTAATTGTTTGTTTAATCTTGAGATTTAATTGTTGAATTTGTTATATTTGCTAATAATCCGCCAAATAAACCTATTTGAGAATTTGTTTGATTATTTGTATTATTTCCAAATGTCAAATCTGAAGATACTTTATTTTAAAATATACTAGATTAATTTGTGTCATTTTTAATTGAATTTTAATTCATACTATCTTAATTTTTTATAAAAAGATTCATTTTCTATAGCTCATATTAATCTTCCTCTTGATTTTATTATTATTAATCAACTGTTTATTAATTAATTACTAATTAACAGGTATTGTTTTGATTTTGTGAGACTTTATTAAATTAAAATAATATTGGTTATTCATTTTTCTACTAAAATTAACTTGTATTGGCTATTTTTAATTCATTTGAAAATAATCCAATATTATTTTATAATGGCTACTATTATAATGCTTAAGGAGATTATTATTTTTTCTAATCTTTTTATTAATCTTATTAAGATTTTGGCTAAGTTATGAACTTAGCAAAAATATTTTGAGGTTCTTCTAATTTATTTTAATTAAGTTTTTCTGTTATTTATTCAATAGGTTTTAGCTATTATTACAATTGAAATTATAATGAACTATTTTATTTTGTTACAAGGCTTTAATTATCTTAATTCTACTCTGTTTAAGGAATTAAATTGAGATCATATTTCTCTAATTCTTATTGAGAGTCTAAAATTACAAATTAATCATTGAGGTTTGAAGAATCAAATTAATTCATTCTTTATTCTGAAATAATATTTTAAATAGTTTGTTCATTTGGTAAAGAATCATCCATAATAATTTTAGAATTTTTTCTAAATCTTTTTACTTCTTTAATTTCTTAGTTCTAATTTGTAAATGAGAAATCTTTATTACTTTGATTAATTTTTCGATCTTTTCTTTTAGGTAAATTCAACATCTCTAAAGATTTTATATTTTCAATATAAGTTTGCTCTTAAAATTTTTCTAATTTTACTTCCTCTAAAATAGTTTTTCTTCTTTTATATTAAATTAGATCAAAATCATTTGAACTTGATTCTGTTTCTTCTGAATTAGTTTTTTTGACAATTGTTTGTATTTCTCCGTTGACCTTTATTTTTTTGTATGGAGCTACATTCTTTATAAGATAATCAGATTCTTAATCAATTAAATTTTGCAAATAATTTTATCTCATTCTTTCTCTATATTTTTTTATTAATAAGTAAACATTCCATCCAAAAAAACTAAAAATTGTGGCTGTTAAGGAGATTTCCATTTATATAAATATAATAATTTAATGATTTTAAAATATTTGATTGAATCCTAATTATCAACTTTTAGCCTAATTTTCCTATTTTATTACTCTAGTTTCGACTAATATTTTTCTTTTATTGTTTTTCCTATTTAAAAATACTAATACTTCTTCTCTATACAATAAATTTTTATTTCATTACTTTCTTTACTCCATTCAAAATTAATTACCTTTGAAATCAGATCTTTTTCAATTTTCCTTCGTTTTAATGATGCTTTATTATTAAATTAGTTCCATCATCATTTTTAGTCTAAATTTATTTTTAAATCACCTTTTTTTTAAGAATTTTTTATTTCTTTTATAATTATGAAACTCAAGGTTATTCTAAATTCTTAATCTTAAAATATTCAAATCTTCAAGATAAATTACAATATTTTTTTCAAATACATCTCACTACGATATTTTTTATATAATTCTTAAAAAATAAATATTGCAAATTAAGCATGAATTTAATTTAGAACAAAACAAAATAGAAACAAAAATTTGATTTATATATGAAAATTTAATAGAATTCTTATTAGAAATTCAAAGAAATACTAAGAGTTCTAATTTCTATATCTAAATCTAATATACCTAAATTAAATATTGTTCTTTTAATAACCCGAATTTCAATGTTTTCTTTTAAAGTAATTATTAATTTTAGTAGCTGTTAGATATATAATGATAACAAACAATAATTCATTCAACTAATATCAAGTTAAACATTTAATTATCTAACTGAAGATACTATATTTTATTTATCCCTATTTGAGAAAGAACTTATTTCATCATTTCCCTTTTAAGAAAGTTCTTCTTATTTTTAAAGATTTTCAAATAAAATTACTAAATCTTAATCTAAAAATTCAAGTAACTAATAATCAGTATAGGTTTTATCCTTTTTATTTTTTAGTATTTTATAACTAGAAAAAGCTTACTCTAATTTAAGCTTCATAGGCATTTCATCTTCAAGCATAAATATATATTATTTTTATTATTCCAAAGCTTTAATTTTGTCGGAAATTTAACTGTTAAATAAATCAGCAGGTATTATAGGTTTAGGCAAACAATTAAAAAGATTTAATTATTCGTTTGAAAACAAAACAAATTTTAACTTATCAAATTCATAGATTTTACTTATTATTAAAGCTACATCTAATTTTTGAGAACATTTTGTTTTTGCATATCTAATTTATTCTTTTACTTATCTTTTACAACAAAATGAAACTAGAAATAAGTCAATTATTCCTAAATTTAATTGTTATTTAGAATAAGCTAAATATTTTTGAATTTCAGACTATTTTTTTTGATTTAATACTACTTTATTCTGTTTTTTTTTTTTTATATTAGGATTTATAAATTCATATTAATGTTGTGAAGACTCTTTATAAATATTTGAACTTTTATTCAATTCATTAACTGATTCTTCTTTAATTTCATCTTTAAATAATTAAGATTTTTCATTTATTTCAAATCGAAATAATTTATTAATCAAATGAACATTCATTAAGGTAAGAACTATAGGTGTAACAAAAATTCTAAATAATAAAACTGCAACATTCCAAAATCCTCCAATTCTCCCTAAAATTGTCTGAATCTTGATATAATTTCTAGCATAAGTAGATTATTTTCCATCTAAATAAATAAAATGATTTATTAAGAATATATTATTGTAATTAGATGATTCCTCTCTCCATTAATTTTAAATTAAACCTGTAAATTAATTTTGATTTTCCAAAAAAAATCCATCATCTGTCAGAATATGAATTTATTTTAATGTCTAATAGATGGATCGAGAAGTTTTTAAAGAGAATGAAGCTTATTGCATACTTTAAATTTGCGAAAAAGGCTTTTAAAATTCATTCAATTATAATAGATTATCGCTAAGATGTATACCATAAAATCCAGCATTTGCTAAATTCTAAATTTCTTCATTTGGAGCACATTCATTAAAGTTAGTTGTATTAATGCACGTTTAAATCATTATTTATAGATATTAAAATTCTATAGCCTGCAACACACCTTATAATTGCTATAATTTTTATTTAATATTATTTACTGGTGGATTTGCTTCCCAAATATCTTTTTTTAAGCATTAAACTGTTCCTAATTAAAGTTTTCCAAAATACTCTTTTTAACTATCAGTCACAGCATGTTCAATTCTACAAGATTCTATTGGATATTCTTAACATCTAAATAAAATACACTCTTACTATGAAATAACTTTAGTAATATTATCTGTTTAATTAAACACTCTTTCTCTTTTACATGTATTCACCTTAATTATAAAATACTTATTTATATTTTTAATTGGTTAAGTATTTAACCCAGTTAGAGTTATAGCTAAGGTGAAATTCTTATTCATCAAAGGAATTTCCTTACAATATTATTTATTACTTACATTACTCTCTATCAATTAAGTGTCATATTGAATCACATTTGGATCACTGCGATTAAATAAGTTATTAAGTTCAATACATAAATATAAAAGACAAAATCCAAATACGATTAAGGTTGAAAAAGCTCCAAAACTTGTAGAAAATCTTTCTTTTTTCAGTATAGTAAATCCAGGTAATTATCCAAAAATATCACATTACATCTAAAGGGCATTTAAAATAGCTTTGTAAGAAGAGGTTTTTGATTTCTAATATTTTAGCATATATAGAATTTATACAAAATTTATTGTTATTTATTAGAGCTTATTTAAGACCTTTATTTAAATATTATATAATCGCTAATTTGCTAAGAATATAAATATTACAAAGAAGAGAAAAATAATGTAAAATATCAAAAATAGGTTAAGTATTTTTCTATTTTTTAAAAATAATTTATCAATAGAGTAATTATGAATTATTATATAAGTTAATTAATATATTTATCAAATAACTTATAACCTCGAAAGTTTTTAAACAGCGGTATTTTATACATTAATTATTCAAAAAGATAATTAATTTTCTAATTGATCAAATTAGCGATCTAATTAATTGGTTTATTAAGATAGATGATTTAAGATTGTTGTTGAGAGAATTTTTAATTATTATATAAATTAATATTAAACTTTATTAGTATGTATTTTATTGTTAAAGCTTTGACTTCTCTTTTGTTGATTATCATTTTCTTTTTTTTTGTTGCATACTTATTTTGATCTTAGCATATTTCTGTCATTAAATTTAAATTACTAGAAACTAATTTTCGACTCGTTTTTTTCTCTGGGTATAATTTTTATTTTTATTTTAGATATGTTGTCAACTTTTTGTTGATCTTAAATAGGAATTTGATTTAAGCTTGGTAAATGAGATATATTTTATATTTTATTAGGATCCAAATGTAGAACTCCATTTAGTTGTTCCTTAAATTTTATATTCGACATTCTAATATTTTTCAACTCTTAAATACGAACTTATTTGAAAACTCTTTGTGATCTTGGACTGAGCAAATCTAGAGACTTTATCCTTTACAAGTTTTAGTAAGAAGCACTTTTTAGATTTATATGTAATTATTACATAATAAAATTATCCTAAAGTTTTATTATTAATCATGAGAATTGCTAAGTAAGAACTAAATATGTAATTTTTGAGGGCTTTCATTTTTCAAAAATGAAGATAAAAGGTGAGGTGTCTTAAAAATTTAAATCTCTATTAATAATTGTTAATATAGATTTAAATCTTCAATAAACTTAATGTTAGATTGTATCAAAATTTTAAGATTAAATTTAAAAAGGAGAGATAATCAAAATTTAAAAAAAGTCCAATAAAAAATAAGAACTTCAAACTTTTGGATATGAATAAACATAGAAATCATAAATATCTTCTTCTATATATATTTCAATTTTTTATTTTTTCTTGTTGTGGAAGCAAAAACAAAAAAAATTAAATTTTTTTCATTTTTTAGAATTTATCATATTTTTTAAATATAGTAAAAATTAGGCTTATTAGGAGTAAAGAAGATAAAACACTAATAAAATGCAAAAATTCTAAACAAAAAGAAACACCTTTAATTCATAAAGTTTATAGTTCATTATATTTAAATTCTTTGTATATAATGATCATCTTTAATTTATATATATAGTTGCTCCTAAGCTACAATGCTTGTTGAATTCATTTGTGTTAATAATTAAAGAATTAGCGAAATAAATGATATTATTAAATTGTTTTTTCATCTAATTAGATCAAGCACTTCTGTTAGATTAGGTTATGTAACTACTATGATATTCCAAATCCATAATTCTATCACATTTATTTTAAATAAAATGCCCATAAAATTTTGTTTTAAAATATAAAAGAATGATTTCTTTGAAGTTTTTAAATCTCTTAATACCAAATATATAAAAGATTATATTATTAATTGCAAAAATTAAATTAATTTTTGAGCTTATAATAATAGACTCTTAAATGCAAGCTTAAACTCTCTTTGATGCTTAACTCAGTAACTCATATGACTTTATAATTAATAAATTTCATAATTAAAACTTTTTTTAGATTTTAAATTTATATTTAATTATTACCTAATCTTATTCTCCTAAAATTTTAGGATTAATCATTTATTTGATAATTTCCTATTGATAAAAGAAAATTATCAAATAAATGATTTACTTCGGTTGATATTTGCAAAATGATCATGAAAAATGATGTAATTTGTAAAATTTAGATAAATATTTAAAATTATGAATTAAGAAGTAAATCAACAATAAATTTCAAAGTTTCACATAAATCTATTGTAGAAATTATGCTAAAAAGCTATGATAAAATGCCAAGAGGAACAGATAAACCAAAAATTTTATTATATACCAAAAAAAAGGATCAGTTCAAATTGTAATAAATAAATAATGAATTCATTGTAATAACCATAAACCTAGAGAATGAGTACTGATATATCGTAAAGATAAAGAAGATAAATTTTTAATAGGAGGAATAATTACTGTTGGAGTGGTTAAGAAAACATTAACGAAAAAAATAAATAAATGACAAATTTATCGCTAAGAGCTTTGAAAGATGATTGTTTATAAAAGGAATAAATTCGATTTCATATTCCTAAATTATCATTGGGAAATGAGAAATAGTTGAAATTGATGCAATTAAATAAATAACTACAAAGTTTAACAAGTAGACAAACAGTAAAGAGATAAGCTTCTCCAATTAATTTATAATTGAGAAAAGTTAATAATGATTTTTTGATTTAAAATAGATAAAAATAGTTAGATTAAATGTTTGAAGCATAAAAGATGATAATGAAATATATAATTCATTAAGATGAATATTTTAATGATAAATTAATCTAATTGTAGAAGTCCATTAATTAATGATTATATTTCAATATATATTTTTTAAATTTGACAGAAAAGGTTAATAGAATAGAGAAAGAAAAGTAGAGACAGTAATTTATTTCTAATTTGATTATAATTTTCTGAATAATTATAATTAAAAGAGTATAAGTATTTTTTTATATAATATAAAAGTTGATTTATAATATAAAGAAGGTAAAATGTTGAATAAGATGAGGAATGGTGAAGGGGGGGTAGATTTGAGAAAATGATATACAATTATATGAAATATTTAATAAAAATTTTGGGGGTACATACTTACGTGACAAGATTTAATTGATTAAATTTGCTATAGAAAAAGGTGAGAGAAATGTGAAGGAAATCAATAATATCTTTTATTTATCTGTAAATACATGTCTGAAGAACACCCAGCAGTTGTCATTGATAACGGATCAGGATAATGCAAAGCCGGTATAGCAGGAGATGATGCTCCAAGATGCTGTTTCCCTGCAGTTGTAGGAAGACCTAAACATCAAGGAATTATGGTTGGTATGGACAGCAAGGAAGCCTATGTTGGAGATGAGGCTTAAGCTAAAAGAGGTGTTTTAGCACTTAAGTATCCAATTGATAATGGTATTGTCAATAATTGGGATGGTATAGACTATGTATATAAATTATATAGACATGGAAAGAATATGGCATCATGCATTCTTTAATGAATTGAGAGTCACACCAGAAGATCATCCAGCTCTTTTGACTGAAGCTCCAATGAATCCAAAGGCCAACAGAGAAAAGATGACATAAATCTTATTCGAAACATTCAATGTTCCATCATTCTATGTTGCTATCCAAGCTGTGCTTTCTCTTTATGCCTCAGGAAGAACAACAGGTATTGTTGTAGATTCTGGTGATGGTGTCTCACACACAGTCCCAATCTATGAAGGTTATGCACTTCCACATGCTGTTCTCAGAATTGATTTAGCAGGAAGAGCTTGTACTTAATATTTAGTATCCATTTTGAATGAATTGGGTGTTTCATTCACATCATCAGCTGAAATGGAAATTGTTAG